TGAAAATATGTGATTTTTGTTACTAGGAGATTGGGGATTTTTAATGTTTGTGAGCGTAAGTTTGATTAATATCAATATATGAATCCTGATTTTCAATATCCAAAATAAATTGAAGAGCGTAAAATCGGATTGAGCAGTCCTCACAAGCTTAATCGCCGAACTACAGGAGTGCTTACAACAAAAAGACGTCTATTGGAGACATGATGTCCTTTTCGAAGTCATCAGTTGTTGGAGGAAAATAAATGTAAGGATCAAACTTAATGTTTTAAATAAACCAATAACCAACTTTAACTTTATTCAGAAGCAGCAATTATTATAGAGCATTGAGGAGCAAACAAATGCAGAACGATCAACTTAACAACAACCTGTTGCACTGGGTATAGATTTAAGAATAGGTTTGATACTCACGATAGTTACTAAAAAGAACAATTTTATGTTGATTATAATAAAGTAAAAATTCAACAAATAAGTTAAATTTTATTTAAAAAAAATCCGGATGATATAATGCAATACCACTGCATTAAAACACATGAAACATACCACAAATTCACATAAATATTACTACAAAATCCTGTGACGATTACTAAACAATTCACGTAACTTTTAAGTTAAGCTAATTTAGAGATCATCGGAACGTCCGATAAAATTTACGTGAAAATCACTTGATTTTCATATGAATCACTTGAAACAACATTTCATTCCCAAAACACGTAATATTCACCTGAAAAGTACGATGGAAAATATTTACGTACCTTTTCAGGTGAATATTACGTGAATTTTATTTGCAGTGTAAAAATGAACACATGAATACTGCTCGCGCAACATTCAAAAAGGGCCTATCAACTTTTGTAAATAATTTGCTAGGTCCTTTCCACGAGAACCGAAGTACGTCCACGCAAACCAAGAGCATTATCGGGAAGGGGATAATTTCCCCTACCCGATGGTGTTGTTAGTTTGCGTGAGCGTATTCGGTTCGCGCGAAAAAGGCTTAACAAGTTTTGTGTACATAAGTTGATAGACCCGTTTCAAATGTTACGTGAGTATTATTCATGTGTTCATTTTTAGTAAACAGGGCCCCGCTGTTGTGTCACTTTTTGTCGAGTGAGTGAACTCAAATCCATCCGTGCACTCGTCAATCGTGCAAAGTAAATAAACATTACGATGCTATGAAAGGTCCACGAAAGGTATTGCAATATAATATAAAATATAATCGAAAAAATGAGCATAAACACGCAGTGAGCGTTAAATTGTCATGGGATACGCTCAGTAATGATTAGTAATGAGAATTTCTACTTTTTTTGTAAAGATAATTTGACAAAATCACTGATATAATGATTTACTACAGCCGTAATATTTTTTCTCTCGCTAGAAGTCATTTGAAGTTGTTGTAGAAGTCCTCTGTTGCCAAGTGAAAATAATGGGAATGTTTCGAAAACTGTGATGCAAGTTAAACTATTTTTCTCTTGGCGTGACTCATTATACACCGACTCTACTTTGGGTACTTATCGCTCAGCAAACTTCTGCGCTAAGTCCAGTATACCTCAGGGTGATTGTGCTACATTTCCCCGAATGTCGTTTCCCCGAATGTCACTTCCCCGAACGCCATTTCCCCTAATCCCAGACAAACATGTACCCCATTTCCCCGAATTTCATTTCTCGAATGTAATTTCCTCGAATGAAATCCAAAAATTTATAATATACTTTGACTGTATTACATTTCTAAGGTTGGTTTCGCGAGCATTAAGAAGACATCTTTGAATATTGCAACAATTAACCTTAAAATAACAGCTCAGAAGTGAAAATATGTGTTCAAAGTTAATTAATGGGGCGAGAGTTTTAGTTTTAGTGAGGTTTGACAGATTGGTAATAAATGTATAGGAGATTTTCCCTTCTTTTTAAATTTATTTAGGAGATTTTCAGCCGTAGACGTATTTTATCCTTCTTTTATAAATGTTTTTTCGAAAACTTTCTCAAAACTTGTGAGATTGACGGTTTGAAAAATTGGTAATGAATTTTGAGGAAATTTTTCCCTTTTTTATAAACGAGCAGTCTTCCGAGAACTTTGAAAATAATTGTGAGGTCGAAAATTGATAACATAGTTTTACGAGATTTTTTCTTTATAAATTCAAATCGAGGAATTTGGCAAAACTTGTGAGATATATGATTTGACAATTGAATCGAGGAATGCTGTGAGTTTTACACTCACAACTACTGACAACATAGCGCAACTTTCTATGGACAAAAAGTTAAACCGAAAAATAATGTATGCAGATTTCAACATTTTTATTAAATTTTCGTTTGTGGAGGCGAAACGAGAAAAAATATTTGGTAGGGGTGTTGCGCCATAATATAAGCCACCTTCTGTACCAATATTTTTTTTTTGAAAGAGCCAAGAAAAAGGCTCTAATTTAATAAATAAACATTTGCCGGTTTTCTGCGTTCAAAACAAATCGCCATAACTTCTGTTTATTACTGTCACCTGTTGAAATTTGGTTGCAATAATTTCCGAAACAAGTTTTGCTAAATTTCCCGAAAGAACTGCTTATGTAAAAAAGTAGGAATAAAAATATTTTACCATTTTGTCAAACCATAAAAGATCGAAATAAAAGAAGGCAAAATCTCCTTAAAATTTATAACCAATTTGTCAAACCGACGATATTTTGCCAAATTTTTTGTGCTCTTTGGTTTTGGTCTGTCTTTTTGGTTTTGGATTATCATTCTATATATAAAAATGAAAATGCTTTTAACGGCTCAATACATTAATAGGGGAAAGAGGGGCATAGTGAGCATCATGTGCTTTGGTAATGCGTTTCTAGCTACTCGAAGCAAATTAATTGGTAGTTGGGTTAATCTCATAAACCTTCCATTTGCATGACTTGAAATTTAATCTGGTTTGCAATCTGCTCACTATGCTCAAAATATAGTAAGAAAATTGCCAGCAATAACGCTTGGAAATTTCCAAACTTTTTTTTCGGGGATATGACATTCGGGGAAATGGCGTTCGGGGAAGTGACATTCGGGGAAACGACATTCGGGGAAATGTAGCACAATCCTCAGGGTAGCCATCTGGGACCATTGGTATGTCTCCTTTACTTCGACGACGTTCACCATGTCATTCACCAGGGCCACGATTATCGTTTGCAGACTATCTGAAAGTTTTTCTGCGCATCCGCTCCGCTCACTCGCCGACTGCCGTTCTCTCCAAAATCAGATTGACATCTTTGCTGACTGGCGTAGTCTAAACCGACTGGTGGTTAACCCAGCTAAGTGTACAGTTATTACTTCCTCACGCAAGAAACAACCGAATAGGGGAAATGGATGTAATGTCGGCCTAAATGCCCCTAATTTGGGCCCATACATAAATTCAGCAATCGACTAAATTTTCAATAGCGACCAAAAATATCAATTAGTACCGTCCCAATGACGCGTTCATCTAGATAAAATTTGATAAATAGCAGATTTTTAGCGATGGGCCCAATTTTAGATCCATAGGCCAACATTAGAGCCATTTTCCCTATATGTAGTCTGTATAATCTGTACTTTTTTACAACACATCATTCGGAATACTTCTAGTCTGTTGATGCAAATACAACAAATAAACATAGGTCACCCTATTCGGCGTGATGGTGCTGCCATCTTAGGTGTAGCTTCCAGGGATATGCGTTTCTCATTCAGTCGTTGATGGGTTTTTTTCCTTTGTGTTTTCTGTACTGAGTACCAATGCTACTGACGCCAGGAAGGCAGCTCCCACACCTGGACCCTACCTATCGACCCATCAATTCTTGGACCGGGGACCAACTGCTTTACTTTCCTTCCGAAAAAAGCGTCAATTCCAGAACAACATGTGAAAAGGGCATACAAGCTTTTTGTAAACAAACCTTCTTATGCCCTTTTCTCGCCACCCATATGACACCAACGCAAACCTTTAACATCAGCGGGTAGGGGACACTTTCCCCTTCCCGATGATATTGCTGGTTTGCGGGGGCGACCCTCGGTTGGTGAGAAAAGGGCATACAAAGGGTTGTTTACAAAAAGCTTGTATGCCCTTTTCACATGTTGTTCTGGAATTAAGGTGAAAGTGACGTAGTGAGTTAATCAAAATTTCAAAAATGGTTTTCACTGGTCGATGTTTTCCTTCTATTATTTCGCACAAAACGACGAGAGCTTTTTCCAATCTGAAGTGATGTCTCATTTTTTTTTAATTTTTCATTTACTTACTAGGTTACTTTCACCTTAAGGTACGGTATTACAAAGCCGGATGTGGCGGATTCGGCTTTAGAGTTGGACATTTTCTAGACTTTTACTGGGCTTGAGAGCATGATTATGCTTGCCACACAATATAAAAATTCATGCATCGTTTGGCATTAGGGTAAGAGGGACATAGTGAACAGGTGGGGCATAGTGAGCATTCCGTGCACCAGCTTGGACTTCCAGCCATTTGGAACAAATTGATCGGTGGTAGGATCAACATCATAATGATATTGGACCTACTACCAGTTGATTTGTTTCATGCAGCTAGAGATCCAGAGACTAAGTGCGGAATGCTCACTATGTCCCACCTGCTCACTATGCCCCTCTTACCCCTAGACGGCTCTCAATTAATAACACTTGAGAGCAGGCGTAAGATTGTATAACAGACGCTCGGGTTCGCGAAGAAATTCCTCTGTTGCCGTGCTATATGGTAATATCACAGACAAACAGACATAACACATTTAATATTTTTCGCACTAGAGCACACTAGGACGGGCAGTACGCTTGGCAGATGGTGGTAGTGCGTAAACGTTAAACGCAAGGGAATTGACTAAGCACGCCACAGGCGGCAGTACTACCAACTAAGAAAAATTTGAATTGATCGTTAAATGCGTGATCGATGAACATCATTCGAATGTTATGCCTGTTTTCAATAGCTTTGAAAGTTCTTAACAAATGTAGTTAAGGGCAGGTCTTAAGTTCTAGTTAGCTACGGGGAAGAAAATTAAACAATGAGTATAGGTTGATCATTTATTAATTACGGTCAGAACGTTACATGGTACAGCTCGCTTACCACCTTGATAAATAAAAAAATCATAACATCGTTATGCTCAACATGTTTGCTTCAGTCTTACAAATTATCATAATGCTTTTAAGAAATGACAAAAAACAATCAATACTTCGTTTTGATGTATCCAAGCAGATACAGCATAGCAAAAAACATAGAAAAGAAATAATACACCTGAGTCTCTTGAGAAGCTTTACACCTAACAACTATGGGGTCATTTCAATTTTGCCATACTTCCTAACGATGTACTCCACGTTCATCGCCAACTCCGGGTCAAGTCTCACCTTCCCAGTAAACTCGATCAATGCTCCGGCGCTCACCAGATGCTCCTCTCCAGCAGGAACATTCAGTACAAGCTTCGAAATGAATACAGCAAGTTCATTCGACGATAGCTCGACTTTATTGCAGAATTCCAGCAACCGATTGATGTATACGATCTCGAATCGGTAATCTTTCACATTAGAAAATTCCTCCAATGTACGAAGAAACGTCGGAATGCCGTCGCCTGTGTCCAGAATCAGGTCTACTAGAACATTGATTTGATGGAAATTTTTCTTGGTATGCTTATCCAAAACGATCTGGACCGCCTGAACCGGACTGGTGCCACTCATTTTCAGGCCTTCCACAATGTACTTGTAGTACTGGATGGGACGCTTCGGTTGTTCACAATCCGTGATCGTGCTGACCAGTTGGTGTCGCATGTTGTTTCGACCCATCACTGTTGCAAACACCGGGAAGTATTTGTTGAAAAGATCGTCCCGAATGGCGACAAACTTGTAGGCTGCCATAATGGAGTCTCGGTTCTGGATGAAAAGCTTCTGGAAAACATCCTCCTCTTTCGGAACTACGTGCGAGTATCGACAGTGGGTTCTGATGCATTTGTTAGTCAGGAAATCGATACACCCGAAGGTGAAGCTTATGACTTCCAACTGCTCGTTAGTACGTTGCGGCTCGAACTGCGGGCCTGCAGAGGGCACACTCATCTGAGGGAACAATTGCCCCAGACCTGGCTGCTGGCTGGGAGCGTTTTGGTTAGGCACCATTGATGCCACCGAAGGTGGCATAGCGGCTTGATTCATTTGTTGCTGGCAGCATTGCTCCCACAACATGGCTATCAAGTTGTTAACATTGCTTTCAGGATGCTGCATTCCCTGCATTCCCAGCATTCCACCACTGAACATTGACGGAATATTCATTCCTGAATAACCAGACAACAACCCACGGTTGAAAGAGTTAGTGTTTCCCCCAGCGAAGGACGGTTGGAAGCCTCCAAGCATCGGAAAGCTAAGTAAAGTGGGCTGCTGCGGTGGATTGTACTTACACGCTTCCGGAACGTAGGGTTGCGAAACGGGCTGCTGAAGGCCATGCAACATAGGCAGTGCCTGAGGCTGCGCAATGTCGTTTCGAATTGTCCGTTTAACGTTGAACAATTCAGAACGATTCGGAATACTGCTTTTCTTTTCCACCGCCAAAGACGGTCCCGGTTGAGAAACCTGATTCGATACTGCCTGCCCACCGGCTTGTGCTCTATTGTCAGCTATCGATACAGCCAAAGGATTCAAATCTCTATAGGGAGGCATAGGATTCAGGTATTATTTTAAAAAAAAACTGCATGAAATACTTACGGATTCACGTTTCGACTGACCGGTGGCACAAATCGTTCCTGCATGATAATATGCGGTTTTAGTTCTTGCCGATCATTAGAGTGCTTGACATGATCGTCGACGTAGTCGTTGATGATAAGCCGTTGCACGGTACCAGCGCTAGGTGCAGGCCTATTGTGTTCGGAACGGGATGTCGATGGAACTGGACTCAAGGCAGGTTCGTCATCTCTGCAATTGGGATCGACTACATGCGGGGTAGACGATGTCACCACTTGTGGTGACGTAGATGGTTTTTTGGCCAGCTTTGGTATTCGGAAAGTTGACCGTACGGTATTGACTACCTGCTCCTGAAATGTTTAAAATTTAAGCATTCTTTCAAATTTACGTCAACTGTTGTTAAAAACAATACCAATCTTTGACGGGTTGGTGGATCCTCCGACTTGCTGGATGTATTATGTTCGAGTTCGCTTACTTCACGATGAAACAATAACATGTCTGTATAAGTTCTATTGTTTCCGTTTGCAGTTGGTTTTATAGGCTGTTCTACGGGTGGAGATTGGGAATTCATTATGTGATGTAGCGCTGATCGGCTCGGAATGTCGACGTCGCTGAAGCTACGCTCGCATCCTACTGGTACACCTGTTGGCACCCTTTCGTTATTGGCCTCACGCATTGGTGTACGTTTTGCACCGTGGTTTAACAGGGTGCGGAATTTATTAAAGTATTCCGAGTGAAAGTCGATCTGATCCAAGTCGATGGACCAAGTCATGCCACATATCTCCGTTTGGCTGGCCTTGGTGAATGTCTTGGGCTTTTTCAGCGGAGTGTTGATCAAACGTATCTTCTCTTCCGTAAGCGGTGAAATTACAATCTGTAGATTGTTCATTGTATCAGCAACCTGTTGACCGTCGTTTAGATCTTTTCCCCCTTCCGCAGCATAATCTTGTGCAGTAACTTGGTCCGTCTCCGACGAAATGGAAGACGCACTCAACTGTAGCTCGGGCTCTGTTTCAGTTATAGCGCTGTTACTGATAGAAGTGGTTTCTGCTTCCTCACTGCTACTGCTGGTCAGAAGTCTACGCTTTCGCCTTTGCACTGGTCTCTTCGTAGTATTATTGTCCTCTGTCAAGTGTAAACAAATGCATGTTGTATATTAGTGTTCGGAGAACCGTTTCCCGGAATTTTTTTTCTTGGTGTAAAAACTATTCAACTATGTTAGCGACAGTATAACATTACCCCGAATGTCACTATCCCGAACGCCAGTACCCTGAACGCCGCTACTCCGAATGACCACTACCCAGAATTAATTGGGTTCTTTAGGGGTTTAAGGTAATTCCATATTCGTAATCTGCATCACAAATGGAACTGAAATCCAAAATTTCATCAATTTTGGAGCACTGGAACTATTTTAAATAAGTGTGATTACATAAGTAAAAATCACCATCTTAGTGCCCCTCGGTGGTACTTTGTATGGAAGTAAGCTGTCAATTTGTTAGTTTTGTGTCAAACAGTGAAGTGATTATTTTGCTTTAAATCTTGATTTGAAAATCGAGATAGAAGTAAATGGGATATCGTTGTGCTCAGAAAACGAAGCGCTTTCAGATGATGTATAGAAACCTATATATTTTTCAAAATTAAAGCCCCAATTGACCATTTGAAAAGTTGTTGATTTTCCTAATTACAGTTTACTCTTTACAACTTTTTTCCGTCGATCTTGTTTTACGTACTGAGCTGCCGCTCATCGCAAGCCGGTCTCATTTGCGTTTTTGTCAAAATTGTTTTTTTTTCAATGGAAATGGTAGCTAATCACCCTTATTTCCATAAACTGGATAGGCTCAACAACTTTGTACAGGGAAAAACAGTAAAACGGATTGTCAAATTGTGCGACGCAAACTTAAAACGCGTTTTTTCGACTTGCTGATTTGTGCTATGGGACGGACTTGCCATGAACGACAGCTCCCACACCTGGATCCTACCCATCGACCCATCAACTCATGGACCAGGGGCCAACGGCTTTACATCCCTTCCGAAGGAAGGCGTGATCAAATATTGTATGCCTCAGAAAATCCCGACAGCGCCTACTGGGATTGATTCCAGGCCCTTCGGAGTGAGAGGCAGTCCCACTTACCACGAACACCACCAATTGTGCTACATTACCCGAACGTCATTACCCCTAATGTTAAAAGAACGAACAGTAATCAAAAGAAGACAGAATTTCATTCGGGGTGTTCGGGGAAGTGACATTCTGGGTGATGTACACCACAAAAAAAGTTGCAGCAACCAGGTCAATCCATCGTTTGTGCACTATTACATTGTACAATGTAAACAGAAAGTGCGAAAAAAAAATACATCAATCGATGAAATATTGCATCTGATTTATACCATTACATTAATATTTCATACATCAGCATGGATTACCGTTGATCGATGTTGAAACTTTTTGTTTTGCTGTGTAGCACAACCAACATGGCAGTTTGTTTTGAAACCGCTTCTCTCTAATACCACAAACGAAGTGACAGACGACTTACTGGCGAAGAAATCAATTAAAATAAGGTGGTTCGCTGTAATAGAATTTTCTTAGAAGCTTGTGCCATCATCCACCAGATGGGATAGTATTTTTGTTTTGGTTTTGCACGAAGTTGATTTAGTGTACAATGATTCTTTGACAGTGTGCAAAGAGTGTATATCATTTTGTCATTTTTTTATGCATTCCAGTTTTGAGTAGAGTGAAAGAGATAGAACCAAAACATTCTAGTTCAATTGGTGAAAATGCTAGTTCAATCCAGTAGTAGTGTTGCCATGTGGTACAGTCCAGTAGTAATGGTGTTGCCATGTGGTACACTGAAAAATTGCAATAGCAGGTTAGTCACCAAAGTTTTCGAGCCGCTCCGTCTGTCACTTCGTTTGTGCTAATACTAGACCTGTGCGCGGGTCATTTCATCGGCGGCGGCGTCGCGGCGTGACGCCGTTGATTTTAGTCGGCGGTGGCGTGTATCGGCGGATCACTTTGGTGGGCGTAAAAATATCGCATTTTCTACTTGAATTGGGTTCTTTAATTTTAAAAAATATATCGGTTTTATATATCATCTTTTTTTTTATATATATAATGCGTTTATTTTTCCAGGCTCATTTGCTGTAGCTTTGCGGAGCCATATATATCATTTGAAAGAGCTTTGTTTTCTGAGCAGAGTGATATTTTTTTCGAACCCACACACTTTAATCTCGGGACAAAAGGTATGGAAAAGCGGGCATAGAGCGGCTACTTTCTACCAGAGCTGTGGCACCACCAACGAGCTGGGAACCGGCTTTGTAGTGCTGGGTAAGATGCGCCAACGCGTGATTGGTTGGCAGCCGATCAACGCGAGGATGTGCAAGTTGAGGATTAAGGGCCGTTTCTTCAACTACAGTATCATCAACGTGCACTGCCCACACGAAGGGAGACCCGACGACGAGAAAGAAGCGTTCTATGCGCAGCTGGAGCAGGTGTACGACGGCTGTTCGCAACGGGACGTCAAAATCGTCATCGGCGACATGAACGCTCAGGTAGGACGGGAGGCAATGTATAGACCGGCAATCGGGCCAAACAGCCTGCATGCCGTATCGAACGACAACGGCCAACGATGCGTGAACTTTGCAGCATCTCGGGGTATGGTAGTTCGAAGTACCTTTTTCCCCCGCAAGGATATCCACAAAGCCACCTGGAGAGCACCTGACCAACACACAGAAAACCAAATCGATCACGTTCTAATCGACGGGAAATTCTTCTCCGACATTATCTACGTCCGCACGTACCGCAGTGCGAACATAGATTTGGACCACTACCTAGTTGCAGTATGCACAACCGGTGAACACTCGTGTTTATTTCAGTTATAGTGGGGACGTAATTTGTGATTAGCCCAGGTCCCTTTCAAATTGTATCATTATTTATGTACGGCCTTATATTTGAAATGACGTTTCACATTCATCTAGTGATGGCCGATTTTCATTCAAATAATCGAATAATCGATTAACGAACCGAAAAGTAAAATATTGGTAATCGGTTATATCATGCCGATATAAGCATTAACATCTCCAGAGGATCATCACCGATCGTTTCAAACATGTGCTGCACTCTCATTGGTGGAAAAATGGCAGCACAGCGAACAAAAATAAGCTATTAGTTGTTAATCGAGTAATTAAAAAAGGGACATCTCTGATTTTGGTGTGATTGTTTTGATAAAAATGAGCGCAATATTTCATCTCTTCCGAGGGGGCAGCAAAACCACAAAATAACCTGGAGTACAGGGGGTATTCATTGGATGAAAGGGACCGTGAAAAAGGACACTAAAATAGAAAGTTTTTCTTCCGACAGTTTCATCTTAGTATTCATCTTTGGTATGCATGCGCTCAAAAATCTCGACGGTGCATAACACACGTCGAAGTCGAACGCCGCGACCCAACATTGAGCAACTACGGGACGCCGGAGTTGCCCAGGACTACGCGCAGCAGCTGGAAGTTGCACTACCCACGGAAGAGCAGCTTGCCGCAGCTTCTCTTGAAGATGGGTGGAGGGACATCCGTTCAGCCATAGGTAGTACTGCTGCAGCGGCATTAGGTACTGCAATCCCGGACCGAAGAAATGACTGGTTTGACGGCGAATGAAAACTGTTCGTAGAGGAGAAGAATGCAGCACGGGCGAGAATGCTGCAACACCGCACGAGATTGAAAGTGGAGCGATACAGACAAGCGCGGAACAGACAAAACTCGGTTTTCCGAAGAAAGAAGCGTCAGCAGGAAGACCGAGATCGCGAGACGTTGGAAAATCTGTACCGCGTAAACGACACACGAAAGTTCTATGAGAAGCTAAATGGTTCGCGCAAAGGCTACGTGCCGCAAGCCGATATGTGCACGGACTTGGACGGCAACCTTCTCACGAACGAGTGTGAGGTGATTGAGAGGTGGAAGCAGTACTATGACGAGCACCTCAACGGCGAAGCAGCAGAAAACGAAGGTGGCACGGCAACAGACCTTGGAGCACGCGCAGAAGACGACAGGCTACCGGCCCCTGATCTTCAAGAAGTTGAGGAGGAGATCGGTCGGCTGAAGAACAACAAAGCAACTGGTGTAGATCAACTACCAAGTGAGCTATTAAAATACGATGGTGAAGCACTGGCTAGAGCGCTGCACTGGATAATTGCCAGGATTTGGGAGGAGGAGATATTACCGGAGGAGCTGATGGAAGGTGTCGTATGCCCAATCTACAAAAAGGGCGACAAGTTGGATTGCTGCAACTACCGCGCAATCACACTGCTGAGCGCCGCCTACAAGGTACTCTCCCAAATTCTATGCCGCCGTCTTTCACCATTTGCAAGAGAGTTCGTGGGCAATACCAGGCGGGATTCATGGGTGCCACGGACCAAATTTTCGCGATTCGGCAGGTTCTGCAGAAATGCCGCGAATACAACGTGCCCACACATCATTTGTTCATCGATTTCAAATCCGCATACGACACAATCGATCGAGATCAGCTATGGCAGATTATGCACGACTACGGATTTCCGGACAAAATGACGCGATTGGTCAAGGCGACGATAGATCGAGTGATGTGCGTTTTTCGAGTATCGGGGATACTCTCGAGTCCCTTTGAATCTCGAAGGGGGTTACGGCAAGGTGATGGACTTTCGTGTCTGCTGTTCAACATCGCGTTAGAAGATGTGATCAGAAGAGCTGGGATAGACACGAGTGGCACGATATTCAGGAAGTCCATCCAGCTCCTTGGCTTCGCCGATGACATTGAAATTATGGCACGGAACTTTGAGATGATGGCGGAAACGTACATCAGACTGAAGACTGAAGCTAGACGGATTGGACTTGTCATCAACGCATCAAAGACAAAATACATGAAAGGAAGAGGTTCTAGGGAAGACAATGTTAGCCTTCCACCCCAAGTTCAGATTGACGGTGACGAAATCGAGGTGGTCGATGAGTTCGTGTATTTGGGCTCACTGGTGACCACCGAAAATGATACCAGCAGAGAAATTCAAAGACGCATTATGGCATTCACCACCGCACGAAGTTGACTGTCTACAAGACGCTGATTAGACCGGTGGTCCTCTACGGCCACGAGACCTGGACTATGCTCGGGGAGGACCAACGCGCCCTTGGTGTTTTCGAACGGAAGGTGTTGCGTACCATCTACGGTGGAGTCCAGATGGATGACGGAACGTGGAGGAGGCGAATGAACCACGAATTGCACCAGCTGCTGGGAGAACCATCCATCGTCCACATTACAAAAATTGGGTGACTACGGTGGGCTGGGCACGTCGTAAGAATGCCGCACGACGACCCAGTAAAAATGGTTCTAGAAAGCGACCCAACAGGAACAAGAAGTAGAGACGCGCAGCGGGCAAGGTGGATCGACCAAGTAGAAGGTGACCTGCGGACCCTTCGCAGATTACGAGGCTGGCGAACTGTGGCCATGGATCGAGTCGAGTGGAGACAACTTCTTCGGACAGCAGAGGACAACAAGGCCTTAGCCTGATTGGTAAGGTAAGTACACTTTCATCTCGATTTATTAAATCAAGATTTAAAGCAAAATAATAACTTCACTGTTGGCGCTAATAAGGTGATTTTTGCAAATGTAATCATACTCATTTAAAATAGTTCCAGTGTACCAACATTGATTAAATTTTGGTTTTGGGTTCCATTTTTAATGCAGATTACGAATATGCATTTACCTCAATACCTTTAAAGAACCCAATTCAAACAAAGGTCACATAAATTAAATATTAAATGATTGTGTTAATTTTTTGTTACATGTTATAGACAACACCATTTGAAATTAGCTACCCAAAACACCATCGTATCTTTCCAAACAGTATCGAAATTATTTCTATGACTCTTTGGATGAATGCTCGATCTTTTTGGAGATATTGAACAAACAAAATGATGGTTTGAGACTCTGGCCATTTCCCGGGGGAATTTGTAACGTGGACAGCTGAACGGCGCCGGTGATGTAGTGGTAAGCGTGATTACCTCTCACTCCAGCAGGCCTGGGTTCAATCCCAGTCGGCGCCGCCGGGATGTTCTGAGGCATAACATCTCTGATCACGCCTTCCTTCGGATGGGAAGTAAAGCCGTTGGTCCCCGGTTCATGAGTTGATGAGTCGATAGGTAGGGTCCAGGTGTGAGAGCTGCCTTCCTGGCACGTCGGTAGCATTGGTGCTCAGCACGGAAAACAAGATCGACGGAAAAAAACAAACCAAAGGGAAAAAAACAAGTGGACAGCTGTGGCCAATGTGGTACTGGGCTATCGATGTAACTGCCATGGGTCGTTATTTTCTTCGGATTCTTATGTGATTGGAGGTGTTGCTTTGCTTGATATGTTAATGTTAAAATCCAATGTTTTTTACATGCCTGGGTGAATCTGGAATATATCTGGCATAATGTGTATCTTGGCTAGATCTTGGGGGTTAACTGCAAGCCACGCCCATCTTCAACACTGGGGTGTTTCATTTTGAAAAAAAGTGTTTTATTTTTTATAGGTTACTCTCCAATTTGATTCATATAAACCTATGCAAAAAAAGGTAAATATTGATGAAGGTTTAGCTCGCAAATGGTTAGAAATTTGTATAGGAATTACTATGCGTTGCGTTACGTGCGTGTGTAACGGAGTAATTCGTAGATTGCACACTGGCAACTATCATGTATCAACTTTAACGTTCTTATTCTGATTGCTTAAGGAAAACTATTTGGGAGTGAATTGTTCTAGATAGAGCTGGAATTAGGTCGTAACAGCTTCTGTAAACAATGACTTCTCTCGATAATTTCTCGGAAGTCATGGCTCTCCCTGGCAAAACGACGTCACCTTCGAGTAGAGGAAGACTTCTCCTACCCGATGGATATGTTGGTTTGTGTAGGCTTGCCTTGAATTCCGAGAAATCAACAAGAGAAGTCATTGTTTACAAAAGGCTGTTACGCCCTTATTCCAGCTCCAGCTAGAGTTCTCCAATCAATGTTCAGAACAGGAAAATCATGACAATTACCATTGCCGTCCACGCCCATCTTCTCCGTTACGGGGAAAGGAAGGATATTGTTGATGTAACATCTACTTAACGGGAAGCCAGCGACTCTCCGACGCCCCCATAGATGCTACGTAGTTGGATAGTTTGGTAGGAGATTGATCAGGATTCGCTTAAGCAGGCGATGCGACCATAGTAATTGTTTTGTTCTCGATGAGCTTGGGAGTAAACCCATGATCTTCTACTCAGTAAGCAAAAGCGGTAGCCGCCAAGCTAGCCGAGCTCCTAAATTTAAATTCCAATCCTTTTTAAAATAAAATTAAATAAACTAAATTAAATAAGTTAAATAATAAAATAAAATTAAACAAAACTATGTAAAAAAACTCTACAAATTTGTATGGGCATTACTACGGAAGAATTTTTAAATAACTTATATCGTTCTAAGTTTGGTTCTACTGGTTCAAATTTTGAAAAGAAAATAATATGTTGTTTCTATGACCATGATCAAATAGACTGTAGTTGTTACGATCAGTTTTATAGCATATAGGAGAAAGATAAAAATGCGAAAACATTACAAAATAAGGTCGATTGACAGATAAAATGCGCAAGGCAGCACCAATTTCATCACAATAATAACAGACTTATTAATCATTGGCATGACAACCACATATCAATTTTTTTCATCGTTTTGGCAGCTATAGCAGCTATTGTATACAACCAAAGTTTGTGCAATGCAAGTGAAACTCAATAATTTCCCAATAATTTTCCATGCAAACTTCAATCCATTGGCGCGATACTTTCTGAACACGCGTTCTAAACCAGCATGAAAATGGAATATCTAAGCAATCTGTCAATTTTCCCATTAATTCTGAACCAAAACTTAAAATCTTATCTTCTTCTTCTTCTTCTTCGTGTTCGCATTTCAAGCTTATTGCTTAGCGCATATTAGCTTATTGCGTGCTCTCAACTTAGTGTTCTAAATGCACTTCCACAGTTATTAATTGAGAGCTTTCGATGCCAATACCAACGCATGAATTTGTATATTGTGTGGCAAGCACAATGATACTCTATGCCCAGGGAAGTCGAGAAAATTTCCAACCCGAAAGATTCCCTCGACCGGACCGGGAATCGAACCCGCCGCCTCCGGCTTGGTAATACCGTGCCTTTACTGACTAGGCTATGAGGCCCCACTAAAATCTTATACAAGAACGAAAACATGTTGGATTCAACCAAAATGTAGAAGGTTTGGCAGCTGTAACATACTGCCTCCCGGACGTATCTGATAATTCATTCCTTTATTTAAGGTCGGTCTCTGTTCCGCAATCTAGTGCCAATCACCGACGGACATCGTTTGCCAACCGAATGTGCAGGAAGGCAACTTCCACACCTGCGTAGGATATCGCACCATTTCAAACACACATGGGCCGGGACCAACGGCTTTACTTCCCTTGCGAAGGAAGACGTGACCAGAGATTAGTATGCCTCAGAAAAATCGGCGCTTTTTACACCAACGAAAATTATTGTTATTTTCCAATTTGGTGCAGTTTGCGATGAATGATTCTTCTAAGCTTTAAAAACATTTTAAAGCCATTACATCGTCGACGTATTTAAAATTATAACGGCGGCGTGTCAACATTGATCACGGCGGTGCGCCGACTCAAAATCATCAGCGGCGGCGTGTAAAAAGTGTAGGCCTACTCTGTAGAATATTTACTTTCCAGGGAAATGGTGTGCCGGGGAACGGTACGTTCCGGGTAATAATGCACAATCGTATATTAAACATATAGCATTATACCCTGGACAGACTATGGCTTATATCATGTAATATAGGCTGTCTTGCAATGAGCACTCATACATCTAGTTGTCACTGGAAATCCTATGTATGAGTGCTCATTGCAAGACAGCCTATATTACATGATATAAGCCATAATCTGTCCAGGGTATTAAACAAACATTAACCTACCATTTCTCAACGTGCAGAACGACTGTTCCGAAGTAGACTGCTTCTGCGAACTGAAAGAAGCCCTAGAACTTTCCTTGCGTTCAGAAGTTGGGCAGTAGGAATCGGACTTTTCCGATTTGCGACCCATCTGACGTCCTCTTCGTTTAGACGAACAAGTCTCAGACGGTTCCGTGTGGCCTTTGTTAGTTGGTGCTATTGATATGAAAAGAAGAAAACCGATATTTAATTCATCGAAAACAATGGGTTTAGAAACATCGAAACACACTTGAATGTTGGTTAGTAGAGTAGCCGGGTTTGATCACCTTGGGTCGGCCTCGCTTGCGCACCGCTGACAGAACAAGCTTCAAACCATTACCAGTGCTTCTCACCTTCATGGGACCTCCAAAATATATGGTAAGACATAATATAAAATTTGATGTTATTGGTGGTTAGTATTAGTTTCGTGTAATATGCTGACTGAGGATAATAATCTACAGTCAACTCTCCACAACTCGATGTCCACTAACTAGATATCGAGTTATAGAACCATAGTAAAAATTCATTTCATGACTACTGTGATAGCGATTTTGTATGGGATTTTTATTCTATAAGTCGATGGTCCCTCTAATATCGAGTTGTAGAGAGTTCACTGTAATTATTTAATATGTACCTATGTATCAAAGGCCGCTATAGAAAAGCGTTTCCCATTAGCTAAATCATGGTCTACGCAATTATACAACATTTATCTGATATAATAAGCTCTAATTCCACTCACCCGAATAGATCAATAACCCGAAAACAACACAAGCCCAAAGGCAGCATTGATATCAAGACAATGAATGGAAACCTTAAATGAACCCGGACCAGAGGTTTGATTATCAGTAGCACTAACTAACGATTTTAAATTGGCTCACTACTTGACTGGCCTATATTCTAGTCGAAATTCTACTACTACCTACACTATGTTTGTTTTGATTCGCTATGAAAGTTTTAAAGATAACCGGGACCATCTGGTCTTAAAGTTACCTCTATGGTAGCACCTACTTTGTACGCCAAAAATATCCCGAAATTATTCAACCTGAAGACATTTAAATTGCAAAACATGATCCCAGGTAGACCATCATTACTGTGAAGACATTCCGAGGAGCTAACATTATTTTACCACAGACAAACAGACGTAAATCTTTGAATACGTTTTTCTTGAAAGAATAGTATCTCAAAACATAGAACCTCAACAACGACTTCTCTCGGGCTTCTCGCGGAAAACAAGCTTGCTCGCTAAGTCGCAAACGATATTGTATGCAAGGTAAACAGAATATATACATAAGCCACCGCACTGTGTCGCCGAGGCATCCGAACGTCTGATATATCTAGACGCCGATCATCCAGCGTTGGAAGCATTCATCAATCGATCAGCTCCTGTTCTCTATGAAGACATCGTTGATGTACAAAGCCTGGACTTTCGTAGAACTGACTTCGTTGCATTGAATCACTCACTGGCCCAGGTAGATTGGCAGTCGCTTGACTTGTGTTGATGAAGCCGTTAACTACTTCGACGAAGTTGTGAGCCGATTAATAGCGGACTGTGTGCCTCTGAGGAGACCTGCTCTAAAACCTGCATGGTCTATTGCTCGATTAAAACTCTTGAAGCGTGTGAGATCGAAGGCTCTTCGCAAATACCGTAATCTATTCATCAAGCGATTATTTTCTTTAGCAAGAAGCACTCAAGACGTATGCAGACCAATCTCTAGCGTAATCCTAAGCTATTCTGGACGTTTGTGAAGACAAAAAGGAAAGAGGATGGACTAACGGTTGAGATTCATCTAAGCGATAAAAGAGCCAACACTTCTTTAGAAAAATATAACCTTCTAGCAGAGAATTTCAAGAGTGTCTTCAAAGACTCAACGGCATCGTTAAGGTTTGATATTTTCACGGTCACATTTGACCTCGTCGACTCCATCGGCCACTCAAAAGATGCTCAACAGAGCTTTCTTCTCCGCTTTCAAAGCTCACTCGTTGGTTTAAATCATATCTTACCAATCGAGAGCTTTGCGTGGAAATTGGCTCTGATCAATCAAATATATTTCAAATAACTCAGGCGTTCCTCAAGGCAACAATTTGGGACCGCTGCTATTCTCGATATTCATTAACGAAATAGGTTTGATACTTCTAACTGGCTGCCGGTCATTCTATGCAGACGATGTCAAGACGTACGGCGTTGTGCGATGCTTCACTGATTGCTTGCGGTTGCAGCATCTGATCGATAGTTTCGAAGAGTGCTGCTCTAGGAATTTTCTCACGTTGAGTGTTCAAAAATGCAATATCATCACTGTCCATCGCAAGCTAAAACCTATTGCAACCAACCTCTGCAGCGTTTGGACAACGTTCGTGATCTAGGAATTACACTTGTTTCTGCTTTGACATTTAAGCTTCATTACACGGATATCGTAGCCAAAGCTAACAGGCAACTCGGATTCATCTTTAAGATCTCTGATGAGTTTCGGCATCCTACCTGCCTGACAGCTCTATACTGTTCTCTAGTGCGATCGATCTTGGAATTTGGTGTAGTACCACAGACAAACAGACATAACACTCGCAAGTTGTTCATCGAACAAGCATTTAACGGTAAATTTAAAAATATCGTAGTTGGTAGTACCGCCACCGACAAACCGACATGACGCTTAATTCTGACTTATGCCCGAAAATCGTAAACGGCCGAATTAAATGTACAGTGATCCAGTCGAAACCATAGGAATTTTTGATCTAGATTAAAAAATAATTTGTCCATAGTAGATCAGATACGAACCAATTCATAACTTTTGCATGCGGGTTCATGGCTTAGCTAAATATTTCCCGGGAACACGGAGCCAGATCTCAATAGTGTGCTTTGGTCAGAAATTTTATTGTTTTTACTATGGTCATTCATGTCGGTACCGCCACCTGTGGCGCACATAGTCAATTCCCTTGCGTTTGACGTTTACACACTACCGCCATCTATTCAGCGTACTACCGATTACAGTGTACTCGACATATGGCGGTAATGTTTTAGCGACGATGTTTTAAATGAATAATCAACACACTCAAAAGCTCTTCATAATGGGATTCCGTTAAGAGGTTCGACAAAATTAAAAGATTAAATCGAAGCCGCATTGTGTATTGCTTGGATCCACCGGTGCCGATTCTTGTAAGATTCGAGCGTCGAAAGTACACTTGCTGAGTCGGAGAGGATTGCTGTAGGACACGATGAAGCTTCAGGGGCAGCTAAAAGTATGGCGACAGCTTTGGCTGTGAACACGGAACAGGTATCAGGTAGGTGATGAAAGTAGGTTATATTGGGACCGGTTACCCCAATTCCTACGTGACCATGTGCTTTAGAGCCGTCGGTGAATATGAGTTGGTTATTGGCAAGCCTGGTAGAAATGAATTGTAGGTATGCTTTGTGAAGATGAATAGAGTTTTCTCCAGCTCTTAAGTTCCTTTTCATTGTCCAGTCGATGTTCAATTGAGGAGAGTTCCAACCTCTGTCGCCTACCCAGTGACCCCCATAAACTGGAGAGAGCTCCTTTATTGGTTAGATATCGAAGGAGTTTGTTCGCCTCCGTGAGAGGAGGAACACTCCCTCATTCTTACCGATGGTGCGTTCAAGAAAGCTAACTGCTTTCGAACAGGTGGCGATGGTCATCAGATGCCTAAGGGGAAGTACACCGATTTCGATGCAAGCAGCTTTTTCCGTAGTGGATGGGAGTAGCCCTGATACTGTTCTGATACACCGGTTGTAGACCGGTCCCAGCATTGCGACCATTAAGTCTGGGGATTCGAAGCGCAATGTCTCGGTTATTATATTGAAGGCGACTGGTGGTAACCCGCAGGAGCCGCATCAGGGACTGACAGTTCTCTCTAACTGACAGTAACTTTGGGTACTTGTCGCTCAGCAAGCTTCTGCGCAAAGTCCGGTATACCTCAGGGCAGCCATCTGGGACCATTGGTATTTCTCCTCTACTTCGACGACGTTCACCATGTTATCACAGAGCCACGATTATCGTTTGCAGACTATCTGAAAGTTTTTCTGCGCATCCGCTCCGCTCACTCGCCGACTGCCGTTCTCTCCAAAATCAGATTGACATCTTTGCTGACTGGTGTAGTCTAAACCGACTGGTGGTCAACCCAGCTAAGTGTACAGTTATTACTTTCTCACGCAAGAAACAACCGATTATTTTCAACTACAAACTACTAGGCACGACTATCGAACGGGTGCACTGCGTGAAAGACTTAGGCGTTTTTCTAGACTCAAAGCTGACATACTCACACCATATATCGTATGTCGTCGACAAAGCGTCCAGAACGCTTGGCTTTGTCTTCAAGATTACTAAGAACTTCACGGACATTTACTGCTTGAAATCGCTCTATTGCTCTCTCGTACGATCTACGTTGGAATACTGCTCTGCTGTCTGGAGCCCGAACTACAATAATGGGGCCGAGCGAATTGAATCTGTTCAACGACGTTTTCTTCGCTTCGCGCTCCGTAAGCTGCCTTGTAGATACCCACTTCGTCTTCCAAGCTACGAGAATCGCTGTCAATTGATCAATATCGAGCCCTTACGTATCCGAAGAGAAATTTTCAGAGCCTTAACCGTCGCCGATACTCTGCAAGGAAGAATCGACTGCGAAGCAATTCTGCAACAAGTGAACATTAATGTTCAACCTCGATCACTACGCAACAGTCTTATGCTGAGACTTCCACTTCTTCGAACTAATTATAGCATAGGGAGCGCTATTTACGGCTTGCAGCTAGTGTTCAACCGAGTAGCGTCGATGTTCGATTTCCACTTGACACGGAATATGCTTCGCCGAAGATTCTCTGCCTTTTTTGCTGACCGAAGGCGCTTGATGCCCAACAGCTAAGTGTAAAATTTAAGACTTATAAATTTTTAGTAACTTGACAATGCTTTCCTAGTTATTTTCGTTTGTAACTGTAGTAACTGTAGTATATGTATGTCGTCTGTATAATCTGTACTTTTTTTACAACACATCATTGGGACTATTTCTAGTCTGTTGATGCAACCATAACAAATAAACAAATAAACAAATAAACAAACAAAAGAAAAATCATTTCTGAACACAATCACACTAGCTCGTGTGGAGACCAGATCACAGATGCATTCTCAAGTATGGGCCGAACTTAAGAGCAATATAGTGCCTTCAAGCAGTGAGGGTCTTTGAATTCTCGTGCAATCTTCGAAATAAATCCCAGTTGACGATTTGCCTTAGAGATGATCGACGAATAGTGCAGATTGGATTTCATCTTCGGGTCCAAAAGAACACCAAGATCAGTCATACGGTCTACTATGCGAAGCGAAACGTTACCAATGTGGTAGTCGTATATGACCGGGTTCTTAGAGCGGTGGAATGTCATTACAGCACACTTTGGAATGCTGATGATGAGCTTATTGCGACGGCACCAATCCACAAACAAATCTAGCAGAGCTTGAAGACGATGACAATCCTCGATCGAGTGAACTATGACGTATAGTGTAAGGTCATCTGCATAAATGAGCTTGCATTTTACTCCCAACAATGCTGCTACATCGTAAACAAAAGTGGACCCAGGTTATTTTCCTGAGGTACACCAGAGGTGCTGCTAAACGTAGAAGAGACACAAGATCCTAGTCGCACTCGAAGAATTCGTCCGGTCAAGTACGAATGTAACCATGATCTAAGCTGCTCAGACGCTCCTAGTCGGGAAAGCTTTCATAACGCTTGTAGAATGCGGCTTTTGGATCAGTATATATGACGTCGACTTGTGCCTTATCCTCCATCGTGGTGATGCATATACCTACTAGTGAAAGCCAAAAGGTTAATAGCTACCGATCTACCAGGAATAAATTCATGCTGGTCAGTTGAAATGTAGTTTTCCGAGCGATTCAATTCAAGACAAATAATTTGTATTATGCGCTCAAAATAGTCTCAACCAGTTTGGACGCTGCCGAAAGACTGGTGATACCTCGATAGTGCTTGATATCGCGTTTATTGCCAGCTTTAAAAACAGGAAACATATACGACTGCTTCCACAATGCTGGGAATTTTCCTTGCTCAAAGGATGCACTCAATATGGCTGCTGAAGGTTCTGCTAAGATAGCTGAGCAACGGCAGAACACCACTGTCTCCTTGCTGCTGAAAGTGCCATATCCCGAGTTACTTCGAATGTGCTCAGTTCCACTAAGTCAGTAGGCGTATTAGAGGCAGCAGATGCAGCTTCAAAGTCACTTGTCATATTTTTATCGAAGATAGAAGCAAAGTGTCTCACATGCATCACTATAGGAAAAGTTGACTCTTTCCTATCGAGTAGCATGTTGAATGGTATACTCGAATATTTGCTGTTGACGAAGCTGAGAAGTAATCCAGGCTGAGGAAACAGGGCGCGATCTTGACAACACTTGATTCCAGCCAATGTTGAATAATACTACAGAAACGTACAGTCATTTAATCAACATCAATGCATTCAAACACATCGGCCCAGTATTGATCAAAAGGATGCTGCAGTAATGAGACATAGGTAATCAATTTTATATAAGGCTAGACGCCCTGCTCCATCATTCACGTGAGCACTATACAAAAACTATACATTATTATACAAATAAGACTCATGCTCATCGTTTGTCATATAAGTGTATCCGCGGCATACGCCTGACGAAATGTTGCTACCCTGACTGAATGACATATAAAGAAACAACTCAAATTGACTTAAAAGGCACTATCAAACCCCCATATGAGTTAATACATTATTTCAAATCTCTATTATGTTCTGCAATGTTTCATAGAAGAAATTCAAACAGCCTCTATGAAAGTCTCTATGTTTGCTTAAAGGTCATTCAGCAAGGGAGCAAAAAAAGTCAAGATCACAGAGAGTTGATTTAGATTTTTCTCCTTTAGTTTACTTAAATCTTTGGTTTTTATTAGTTAGGTAGGTTCCGATTCAACACATTGTAGTTTCATTTTTATACCTGTGATCTTGACTTTTTTTACCTAGGGATGAGTACTTAACCCCCTTAAGTACTTAAGAAGATTTTGATAAGTTCTTTAGTGGGAATGACACTGATGAAGACTGCACATTGTAGTCGAAATACCGTGTCTGTCATAGATACCAAAATTAATTAAGTGGAATTAAATGGAAGATAACCTTTTTGCCTTTTTTTTAAGCATTCCGCTAACAACCCAATTTCATTCAGAGTTGGTTGGAAATGCTAACATGAAGCTTTAGTGTGATGATTTTTTAGCTAGAGAATGATCTTTAGAAGAGGGTAGGTGGATAGTTCCGTTAGAGTACGGCAGTATGAAAATTGAATAGAAGTTGAAAATGAGCGAAGGGCCATTAATGCGACCGTTTTTCACATTTTTGCCTAACCCGTACGATGTACGCGGGGACTTGAAGTATGTCTCCAAGTCCACAGGCAAAAATGTGCGTCCCTCTTTTTGCTCATAAACTGACTGCGGCTGTGGAATAGTTCTAGCGACGTTTTCATCACTACCTAAAGCCCCACGTTGCGAGAGCATTTCCAGTCGATGCTGTGTTATAATGCTGTTCTTCTTTACCCAACTATTGTGTTGCTCCTCTCGTCATGACCATTACTTCGTTCAAATTAAGTATTATTAGTTTCGCGAATCCGCTGGAACCGGATCACTTTGACGTTTCTATACATTCTATCGAACTTGTATGCAACATTGTTTGAGACTTGGCAAGCAAGCTTTTTCCGCGAACAGCTCGCGAGATGTCGTTAGTGAGTTCCGTGACGATATAATTGTGGAAAACTTATTTAAAGCGTTACTTTTGTTTGTCTGTGATTTTACTCATAGCTACCTTGGAATTCTACTCCAAAATTCCTTTGAAGTCTAGTCGTTATAATTCAATTCCCCATATTTTTTCAAATTTAACTCAGTACTACTACTTATTGTTGTTTGCAAACAGATTCTGTGACACTACCCCGAATGTCACTACCCCGAACGCCATAACCCCGAACGCCATAACCCCGAACGGTACACTACCCCGAACGCCGTTACCCCGAATAGTACACTACCCCGAATGGCCACTACCCCGAAATTAAGACAAATGGAAGAACAGCAAGGGATCAAAAGAAGGGTAAATTTTTGAAAAGGAAATTTCCTTTTCTAATTTATACTGAATACAAATGATAGGATTCTATAACATTCCCCAGAATCTCATTCCCCAGAATGCACCATTCCCCAGAAAAGCATTTCCCAGAATGAACCATACCCCAGAAAACCATTCCCCAGAAAAGTATGCCATGTATTAGACAGTGGCGTCGCCCTAACCTCAATCTACCTGTTCAACAACTCTCAAAACGTAAACAAACAAAACAATATTGGTTTCAATGGATACAAATCAGTGAAACTAGAAGACCCTATGCCTTTTGAAACTGATTTGAAGGTAAAAATGACCCTAAATAACGATTTCAAAGTTGTTGAACAGGTAAAAAGTGAGGTTACGCGACGCCACTGGTATTAGATTGACTATTTTTGTTTATTATAGTCACTCCTGGAATCTTCTTTCGCGTATATAAAAAGAAAAGAAAAACTTCTTAGGGTCTGTTCATAAACTACGTAGCAGGGAATATTCCCTTCTTTGAAAATATAACAAAAGGAAATAATTAATTCTTTGGATATGCGATAAAGAACAGAATATTCCCTTCTTTGAATATATAAAAGAGAATATAATTAATTCTTTAAATATATGATAAAGAAGGGAATATTCCCTTCTTTGAAAATATAACAAAAGGAAATAATTAATTATTGGATAAACGATAAAGAAAGGAATATTCCTTTCTTTGAATATATAAAAGAAAAAATAATTAATTCCTTGGATGTATGATAAAGAAGGGAATATTCCCTTCTTTTAATATATAAGGAAAGGCCGAAAAAGCTTGTAGTTTTTTCGGCTTTTTTATGTTTTCGGCCTTTCGTGATTCGGCCTTTCGTAGTACTCCCATATTATAATCTAATACTTAATATGAAATATTATCGGTATAGATGAAAACTGGAATAACCCATCAGCGAGAAACCATTTTACTTTTATTCTGTATGTTGAACATAGTGTTGGAAGTAGTGCGCAGTTAATCACACAATAATGCGCTATGCGTAGGGAAAAGTTCGCGAATCATAGTGAACTCTTGCTTCACTGATTTACATGAATCAATTTTAAAAATGCTCTTATATGAACCTAGACATAATAATTACATTAGCAAATTAAGTGCTTCTAAATTCCAATAAAAAATTATCATTTGTATTCAGTATAAATTCCAAAACAAAATTTCCTTCTAAAAAATGTACCCTTCTTTTGATTCCTTGCTGTTCTTCCATTTGTCTTAATTTCGGGGTAATGGCCATTCAGTGTAGTAGGGCATTCGGGTTAGTAGGACATTCGGGGTAGTGGCATTCGGGGTTATGGCGTTCGGGGTATTGACATTCGGGGTAGTGTCACAGAATCTTGCAAACAATGTCTGTAATTTACAGATTTTATAAACTTCGTAGATCTTGAGATTTGTGCTCTTGAAATTGTAAAGTGTGATAAGAAACAGGACTCAACATGGAAACACCTTAATGTGAGGCTGATTTTAAGTGCTTGTTATGCTGACTAAGTCAAATGAAAGTAACCGATTACCCGGATTGAAATTATGATCTTTGCTGATCATTTTCACAGCGATTTTTAGACCAATGATACATACCTACATATAACTAGTCTACCTATTACTTGATTGTTACTTACCTTTATCCTTCGAAGTCTTCCCTGAGCGCATGGAGGATCTTTTTTTCAACGGTGGCATGACGAGTTGCTCTTCGGAACTACCACTATTCTTATCGCCCACCATAGACGCCGAATTATCATCCGAACTAGTCAACGCCAAATCCTCCTCCAGAGTAGGCATATGCATACACACTGACGACGTAGTCTCAACGTCTAATTTCGAATTTTCCTGGGCTTCCACCTGCTTTTCATGGTTCGCATCACCCTTCTTCGAGAGAAGTTTTTCCGTTGGCTTGAAATCCGTCTTCGGCAGCTTGGATTTTAGTTTTGCTTGCTGCGGCTTGTTGTTCACACGACGTTTTCTGACGCGACTGTTTGAAGGGCGGTATTCTTCGTCTGATCCTCCCATTGCTACAATTCTTTTGCGTCCGCGTCGTCCACGCTGGGTGGCATTCCTGTTGACTTGCTGTTGCTTTTTCGGTAGTTTGTTCTGGAATGGGTACTTATGATAATTTTGAATAATCTTGATATGTGGAGGTTTGATTTTGCTGGCATCCCAAACGGATTCTACAGCAACAGCGGGGGTATTCGAAGCATCCACTTGCATGTGCACGACTTCCGGTTGCACAGTCCCATCGCATATGGTATAGCAGAGAGCGATCGGTTCCTCATTAGAGCGTTCCACCAACGGCTTCCCGTCATCCATAATGGTATTGAGGGACTCCAGGTGCTCCTGACTGGGAAGTTGCTGCGACTGCTTCTCGCAATCAGCAAACAAAGAATCCATTAGGAATTTCTCCTCCGGCGATATCGAGTGGAACACTGCGTCGGGATCATTACCAGTCGGTTCTTTTTCGATCCAAGCATCCAGCATGTCTTCCAGCGCAATATCCGTTGTCGGAATTGGAAAAGAGTTTTCCTCTAGTTCTTCCTTCTTTGGGTCATTATCGCTCAAGGGCGCCTCATGTTCCAGCTCTTTCACAATAGCTTCTTTCAGAGCCAGCGAATTCATCAACTCCTCCTTCGACCCACTCTCGGACTGGCAAACAGTAGCCTCCTCCGTCGGTTTCTCGTTGTGATCGCATTCGTTCTCAATATTCTGTATTCTTCCTTCAATTGCATTGGGATCTGTGAGTAGGATATCATTTGCTGAAATTACAATGATATCCTCATCCGGAATAGAAGATGTCCCTGTTGAAGCGGACAGTACACTGGACTTGGATGCTGACCGACACACAGATTTACGTCGTTTGTAACCTTGCATGGCAGGATCAATTTTTTTCTTTCTCTTGGCCGGTTCCTTCGATTCCTTATCAATGAACTTTATGTTGGCCCTTGACTTCCTGGTAGCACTGTTGATGACCAATATTTCAGGTATGATCGTTACGTTTCGGTTACGTAAGGACTTTACCCGTTCACCAACATCGTCAAAGGATCCTTCGGAGTCGTTTCTGATGCGTGATTCGATGGACCGTTCCGAAACCGTCGATTCAGCTACGATAGGGAATGAGTCCTCCGACGATACCATTGTTAGATCAAGACTCTGGGGGGATGTTTTCTTTTTGCCTTTTTTGTTCCTCTTCTTTTTGAGTTTAGGTACCTCCACTTTAACCTGACTAACGGGCTCGGTATCCTCATCGGTTGAAGTCAATTCAATTGTAAAAATGTCTTCCGGTTGGGAAAAATCTGGTCGTTGTTTTATCGGCGATGAGAACTCTTGCTTCACTCTCGCCCTTATACTTTTATCGCCGTCTTCATCTGTTTTGTCATCTTGCTCGTAATCCATTTCACCCATCTCCTGATAAAGATCTAACTTGAGCCGTAAAACGTCGGGATCTTCTTGCTGGAATGAGAAAATTTAAAGTTAATTCCCAACATTTACTACCAGCCGTACTTGGTATACTTACATGACAGCCGTAGATGCCAACTTCACTCGTCTCACCACTGCTGTTCAATGCAGGACTAATCTTAGCTGCCGATGAATCGTTCCTGCTGCCGGCCTTTTGTTTGTCCTGGATCCCATCCATAATTTCGGATACTTTTTCCACAAAGTGATCGATCTGCAAGCTCAGCGATTCCTGGCTTCCCATCGAATTCTTATCGTCTTCTACGTCCGAAACGCATATCTCCGGGATGATAATCTGCTTCACCAGCGGTTCTCTAAGAATTCGTTCCTTCTCCATTTCGTTCTTTACACCAAGCGATATTTCTGGTTTTGCATCATCCACCACACCATTTGAAGGTTTCATGAAGGTATCCGAAATGTCATCATCTATTTCAATTACATCATCATCGGGATCGAGCAATGTTTTCTCTGAACACTTTTCCTTACTGTTTACAGCTTCTTCAGGCATCTTCTCCGACCTCTTCTCTACTTCTTTCGACTCTTTCTCCGTCTCACTACATGGTTTACTGTTTTCAACACTTGCTTTGTTTTCCCTTACCTTCTCCTTCGTTGCCTCTCTTCTACAAAAATCATTCTCCATGTCGCTATCGAAATCCTCCGTGTAGCAATCGATGACGTCCAAATCGTCATCATCGTCCGCCAGCAACTTATTTTCCTCCTCTTCCGTTATGTCGTCGTCACCGTTGCTCGAGGCTGGCGCGGATCTACCATCTGTTTTTCTGACTTTCTTATCAACACTATGAGCCGATTTCTCAAGGGGGCCGTCGGTCGGCACCTGTTTTTGAACTGACACGTTGGACATTTTGGATTTTTCGGCAGGCTGTTGTCGGAAAACGCCAAACGGAAATAAATAATGAAAATCCACCAATTTTATCATAAAAATACAGAGTAAAAATACCTCCGCTGGTGTTAGCCGATCAGTAGCACAGCACTCAACAAAATGGACTGATTTCCACGAGTTTGCCAAGGAAATTTACATCAAAACACATTTTCCTTCCATTGTCAAGTTGATTCTTTTGTTCGTTTGGTATCCGCACGATGCACGCGCATGCACGAACGGTTATAGATAATAGACTGTTCAAGTGAGTTTTGATCTACTTCACCCCTGATCTGATGGTTGGCCTCCCAGTGACTTGAAAGCCTTTAAAACTAGCCAGACATCATCTAGCATTCTGGACATTTCATTCGCAGCTCAAACCAAGAATTTTGTCGAACACCAGCACGCAGCCATCTGGTAAATATGCCCCTATGCAGTGCCTCTACTGTCGGCGTCAGTAACGATGTTGCCCGATCAAACAGAATCGATCTTGGGAAGAAAAGTAAACCGTTACGAAAATGCGCAGGCGATGAAAGCGACAAAAAAGAAACCGATAGAGATGGACAAATTTTGTTTTGCAACCACACGCAGTAGCTCGCTCTCGTTCCAACCAACGCATCAGAAGCATTTTGACATCAAAAATCGACGAAAGCTTCTTCCCCCATGTTGTTTCAGTATATTCTTTGCTTTCGTTCGTGTGATTTTAAAAAACGGTGGACGTGTGAGTTTGCTAATCTGGAGGAAAATCGCATTTTTTCTCCGGAAAATAGAATTTTAGCGGACGAGTAAATCGAAATTGTTTTCGTTCGGATGTGCAAACCAACGGGTACATGCAATTAGCGTGTTATTTCGCGGCATTCAAGTGTAAAAAGTGCATTGAAAATGGGGCTTGTTTGAATGGAGGGATCGATTATGGGTTGCGAGTGTTGTTCGATTTTCATGCTGCTGCTGCGAGAAGAGTGATTGAGGCATTCGGGCCAAACAAGACTGCTGTTGCCGTTGTGGTTCGGTTGGAGGCTATTGCTTTGGGTTGCGGTTATTTAAAGGAAAAGTTTTTGGGGTAAATTCTATGTGGACAGTCAAATACTGGTTGTACAAGAATGGGATAGTTGTGTCCCCTTCCCCTCATTCCACGCAATTTATCGATATGCATTGTGCTGGATACAAGTAGCTGCCAAAAAAGGTTGTTAGGTAACAAACTGATGTTGAGTGAAGGATGTAGGTGAATTGTTTTCAATAAATACTATTTAAGTAGCATATTTTTGACCGTAAAGGTTTAGTCATTTCCAGAATTTAAAGGTTTTGCAATATTTTTTTTAAATTAGTGTTGTAAACTACAAAAGAAATTACGCAGAAAACTTGCAAGGTATGTACGCGAATGTTCGATTAATTCATAAAATTACATAAAACGATAATATGCAATAATTCGTTTAAGACAATTACAATACGAAAACAAAATCATTAGAGAGCTGAGCGGCCATGAACCGGGTATCGAAAACATCTATCTAGAAATATTATTTGTTTATAGTATACCTAGGTATTGAAATACAAGTTCTTTTAACGGTGAATGTACTTTTTCTCCTGTTTTATTTATCTTACTCTGATTTTTTTAAGTCTATTAAAGTGATTTTTAGCTGAGTTCTAGTAACTAGTTCATCAAGTTATTTTTTTATTATTTTTATCGATAATGTGGAACATTCCTATATGATTGGTAGCTATTTAGCGGTGCTAAAGAATGGCATCAAAAAACGATTTGTTTACATTTTGAACATAGGCCGTTTTCAAATGATACGCGAAAGTTCATCACATATCTTGCTCTGATGAAAAAAAACCAGCCAACGGCTAGAAGTCTCAATATTAAAGACAACTAACTAAAGTAAACTAACTTTCTTAATATGTGAATTCAAAACAATGCCCTTGTATTGAAACCTGTTGAAAAATCTATATCCGGTATCTCTAATATTTATCTTAGATCCTTGAATATATCGTCAGACCTGGGATTCTTAATTGTCTTTTAGTTCGGGATAGCTATTTTTTTCCAAGTCTGTGATCCTGGAAAATTATCAATATCCCGTCAATTGGACTCTTTAATTTTGAAAAATGTATCGGTATTTATGTATCATCTGAAAGAGCTTCGTTTTCTGAGTACAACGATATTTTTTCGAACCCATTGACTTTTGACATTGATTTTTAAATCAAGATTTAAAGAAAAATAACAACTCACTGTTTGACACTAAATTAACAAACTGACAGCTCGACCCCATACAACGTCCCACTGAGGGATACTAAGATAGTGATTTCTGCTAATGTAATCGTACTTATTTAAAATAGTTCCAGTGTACCAAAATTATGATTCAAGTGCGAATCTTAAAAAAGCTCTCAAGTCTTATGCCTTGTTCAGACTAGAGAGTTATAACATGTTTCAAGGGTGTTATAATATTTATCGATAAGAAAAACGTCATCAAGATAGCCTTGTAACATGTTATAGTTCCGTAGTCTGACGTCTTATTTATGCTATGTTCAGATTGAGGCCCCCTTAGCTCAGTCGGTAAAGGCGCAGCTACAAAGCAAGACAATGCTGGAGGTGGCTGGGTTCGATTCCCGGTCCGGTTTAGGAATTTTGCGGGTTGGAAAATTTGTCGACTTCCCTGGGCATATAGAGTATGATTGTACTTGCCACACAATTATACTAATACAGAAATGGTACAGGCATCGAAAGCTCTCAATTAATAATGAGGAAGTGCATCTAGAACACTAAGTTGAGAGCTCGGTTGAGAGCACGCAATAAACTAATATTATACGATATGCAATAAGCTTCAAATGCGAAGAAGAAGAGAAGAAGTCAGATTGGTTAGTTTTAATATGTTTTAAAATGATGCTAAGCCTATCTTGATGTGTTTTTTTTTGTTTGTAATAATAATTACATATGTTATAATGTTGCAATGTGAACATAGTTAATACTATCACTGATATAATTTCCCGTTATTCATCGATTCATCACTCTCGGCTACTACCTTCAAAACTGGGGCCTCAGTGCGCATCTTGAAACGAAAAACTTTTTCGTTTCGAGATGCGCAATGTGACCCCTGAACTGACGGAAGAATGATAGTAAAAATCCAAAGCATGTTGCCTTTGTTGTTTTAAAAGTAATGTTATTCAAAACCGGTGGCGTCGCCCTAACCATAATCTACCTGTTCAACAAGTCCCAAAACGCAAACAAATAAAATTATATTGATTTACATCGATACAAATCTGCGAAACTAGAAGACCTTATGTATTTTGAGACCGATTTGAATATAGCTATGTCTCTAAATTACAAGTTGTTGGGCAGGTAAAAAGTGAGGCTACGCGACCCACAGTGCTTTTGTGAAGTCCTGCATATAGAATATATATGTTACCCGGAAAAAATAACCATACAATTACCATAAAATAAGATACAGTTACAACCAGGGCTTCTGTCTGTCCTTTTTTTCATGCGCAGTCAACATAACCATTCATTCAATTTCATGTAGTCTTTTGTGTGCGGTACTTCGTATACCATCCGTTGCTCCACGCTACTTTTCGCATTCATACTTCCAAATGCACAGCTTTACGAATAGGTAGAAAAATCAGTTCTTGCTCCCTCTCGTAAAAAATCCTCTCTCGTTTAGTCACTCTGCTTCGTTTTGATTTTTTTTCACATTTTCATTTCGGTCAAGTTCCCTTTGTCGTTTGCTGTAGTGAATGACTGCAAAAAAAATCAGTTCTACGGCAGTCACCTCTAGCGCAGATAGTGTTATATGTTATATTTGCAAACTTAGCAGTGTTGTTTTTAATAAGAAACTGGTTGAAATTGGAAAGAAAAATCGCAGGCAAGAGGAAGTTTCGTGATTAGGCGAAGGATTTCGTAGTGCAAAATTACGTGGGTGTGTGGTGTAGGTTGAGTGGTGATGAAAGTTGTAAATATTTCCAGAAGAATTTTGATGCGGGAAATTTTGTGCGTAATTTTCGCAGTACACATTTTGCGTTGGCCAAGGAAAGGGTTTTTTTTAAGGAAGGTGAGGAAGTGGAAGCAAAATCGAAGAAAATGAAATAACGTCCGTGGCTATTGTCGATTCATTGAGGAATATGCCTTTGTCTTCGATTGACTGGCCCGAAATGCGTGCGATTCTTGACACGCTAGCTAGTGCGTTAGGTACCAGTTTTTCATCGGGGAAAACCAAGAAATACATTAACATCGATGCTGAGAAAATTCAGAAAAACATTCCACATGAGATGAGAGGACAATTAATTTCACTGAAGATCGACTCTGCATCGCGACATGGTCGTCATATTTTGGGGATTAACGTGCAATTTGAGAATGAAGACCAAATCGTCATAAGAACCCTTGGTAAGATATATATTTTTGTTTCTACCGTAGTGCCTCAACAAATTGGATGGTGTTGTGCTAGTGGTCACCACTATTTCATCGCTGTTTTTCAATTGATTGAAGGAAAGCGCAGAAAAAGCGGTGAGCAGATAGTATCACTCTTAATTTATTCATCATTTAAATCTAAGGTGCGGTTCCATTGCAGCATACCTCACTTCACTTCGGCAAACCCCCAAAAATCAGTCTTCCGACAGCGCCATACACACAGCTTTTTTAATTAAACTTCTGAGCAAATCATTTCTTACATTTATATATTTTGGATATCGCTGTTTGTCTTCATTATTTTTGACGAGTATAAGGGAAACTTTTACAATATTCCGAAGTAGTGCTTCACTCTACAACCTTGTTTCTAAGAGCATTCGTTCTTAAGCTATGTACTCTTATAGCAAGTGATGTTCTGAAAACCTCGAAAAGTTGAACTGTAATTCGCTGAGATAAACTCTATTTTTTCCTTCCATCTAATATAAACTCTACCCAAGGGCAACATTTTATTAAATTTTGATACTCTGATACCCTTTAGCCCACTCGCAAATAAAATAAACGTAACATTTCCCTAACCACCCTTTATTAGGACAAACCTGTAAGATAATAAAGAAATGACCCCAGTTCGAATGCTTTACCGTTTTTTCCCTCAAATTCGATACATTTTTTACGCTAGAGATTGCTAGGTTGCTAAAACAACAGGCTGAAAATGTTCATAAATTATCTTTAGCATATCCATGACTTACCTCTATACAAGGGTGTTTAAAAATATAGATTTTGCTCTACCCTGCTCAATCGATTATAATTTCTGACTATTCTCCAGAAATTTGAACCCATTTGGTTGCGATCTTATACTTCTCTTTGATTTTTATAAGGAAATTATTACGAGAAAATTTGAGAAAGTTCTTTCAAAAAGTGGTCTCCAAATTTTACATAAGAAAAGATAGTATGCATACCCGTATATCATTTTGGAAAAAGGCTAAAACGAAGAAAATAAAACAAAATATTTTTTTCCCTTGTAATTGCCATTTAAACCTCGAAAGGCTATTGTGGTATGAAATAACAAGCAAATTACAACTCAAACGCAAAAGAATAATCTGGATGGACCTACTTTGGCGGAGGTGGAGCAAAATCTGAAAAATCATTGCAGGGGTTTCTTTCCAAACACTTCTATGGCCACTAGAGGCCCTACGGGAACCAACTCCGGGACAATCCATCGGATGATCACAAAATTATGATAAACAGTCTCCTGCTGTAAATTCATGAATTTTGATACCCATATTGTAGGGGTTTCTTCCAAAACTCTTCCATGGCCACTAGAGGCCCTACGGGAACCTGCGCCGGAATGGCCGTTCCGGGGAGAAACCTTAAACTGGTCCTCAAGTAAGCTGAAATTGTTTCTTGAAGGAGATTCTACTTTGATATCGATTCCTTCAATATTCTAGCGAGAGGCAAGAAAATGCTTAGTTATGGAACATTATACAAGAAATCCGGATTTCTGGGAACCAGACTATTCCGAATGGACATTGTTGGCAATGTCCAGAAAGAAGACAAGTTTCTGAATCCTATGGTGCCAAAAGATTCAAAATCGATCAAATTTAGCCGTAGTAGCAAGTATTTCAATTTGTGGAAGTACCTTGTCAAGCTCCTAAAGGTGTTTTTTTTTGTCGATCACATAACGGTTAATTACTTGGCTACAAAACCGTTGCTGATAATACCTTCTTTTATCAAACTGTGATTTGAAAATAGCTGGAAATTAATATTTATGGCCATGCAAAGATAAAATCGACAAAGAGAATCTGTCAATGTTACAAAGGATCTGATTCATTGTTCGGCTCGGTAGGAAGAAAGAAGTCGATTTCATTTTTGTACGTAAAAAGTATTAACCAGAGACTTCAAATATTAAAAATTAGATCGATTGGTTTGAAAACAGCCGAGTTATAGCGGTGAATATAACATATTTCCTACCGCGTTTATCGGGAGACTCGTACAGCATAGCTCACCATTGGAAAAGAGAAATGAAAACAAAATACGCAGAGTACTCCCGGTCATTCTGCAGCTTCAACTTTCAACATGCACGATAAGCGGGAGAATGAATGAATTGAAAAATCGGCTTCCACCGAGTTGCTGCGGCAAACACCACACAAGCAATCGACAAAAGGCAGAACGACTGCGCCATTTTGCCAGTCAAACCGCCGTGCTTGCTTCGCACATTGAATGCAGAAAACGTACGCGATCACGCAGTCACAGTCGATATGCGATCCCCTTTCAAGCCCTGGTTACAACTAAATCTATTGTCAACAATCTATCTTATTTTAGGTATATTGTACAAGAAATTTTAACATATTGTTATTACAATACATGTACAATACGTCCCATATCGTCAGGATTTTCAACAATAGAACAACCTTACAATTCATGTGTGTTTTTGGTGGGTAGTATTATTCCAAATAGAATCAGTGCGTCTGTGTGCGAGCTGTGGTAGGTATTATTCCAAATAGAATCTACCGTCATATTTTACCGGTTTCCAATTCCTGATAGAGCAAGGATATAATCCTCAGAATGGCTTGGGTTCTAGAAATAGTTTAGATGATCCTTGCCTGGCCTTCTACTCCACAGTGTCCTGGCACCCAGTAAAGATTTAAATTTGCTTAGATCGAATTTTAAATTGTTATTGCTTAGCTTCCAGGCAGAAATTTAAGATTCAGCATTTGAATAAAAAAAAAATCAAGATTAAACAGAGGCTTCAAAAACATTGTAACCCGCTCCTTCTCATGGTGTTCCACAACTTTTTGATATAAATCATGTCTGTCAATCTATTATTAAATAGTAACTACTTATTTGAGCTTCTCCGTGTGCTCATTATTTTCATCCATACGTATTATTGCGAATTCAACTTAGCAACTACTGAAAAGTCATGAACATACAATTGATTTTAAACAAAACCTTTTACGGCACATCTTTTGTTCTAGCACTTTAAAAAACACATTTGAATCTCAAAACAATGAAAAACCTTCTGAGACGGAAAGGGTTAATCTCATGTTACTAAGTATTCCCAAAATTACATGAGTGATTTTCAGTGGCCCTGTAAGAGAATGGAAAATTAAATCTATTTCATCTTATGTTTTTATATATTGTTGTTCTTTCAACATCTTCTTTTTTAAAGCCAAAATTTAAATGCACCATTTTTTTAGTTCAGATATTCAAATTTTTTAAAATATTCCAAATAGCATCCTTCATTCCTTCAGGAGAAAATTTGTAAGATAAATTGTGGTTTAAAGTATTACCGTATTATTATACATAATATTTTTTTATTTGAAATAGTTTAATGTTGTATCGCCATATTACTCAGAATATCTCTTCATCGATTTTCTTGTTTAATTACTACAATTGATTGCTTAGTTACGTTTCCAATTTTCCGAGTTTTTTTAAAATATTATATTATTACTGTCAGGGTTGCTTCCACTCACTTGCTATAAAAAAAATGTTTTTCAGAATAATGAAATCATTAGCTTTTATAATGATAATTATTACTTGTAAGTTACAAGAAAAGGTTTTCAACTATGTCATAAATTTGCTGATTATGCCGCACTGGAAGCTAAATCGACAGGTTTTATGTTGAAGTAATGAAATCGGAATGCTTTAAATAAAACAGCAAAAAGGGGTTTCCATTTAATTCCACTTAATTAATTTTGGTATCCATGACAGATACGTATTTCGACTACAATGTGCAGTCTTCACCAGTGTCATTCCCACTAAAGAACTTAACCAAACCTAACCCCTTTAAGTACTTATCCCATAGGTAAAAATGCCAAGATCACAGGTATAAAAAATGATACTACAATAAATCGGAACCTACCTAACTAACAAATTAAAAGATTTAAGTAAACTAAAGGAGAAATATCGATACAAATCTCTAATAAGGAAAATTCCCAAAGGCTTGGTAGCCATCTTAATGAAGTAATGAAATTGGGTTGTTAGCGGAATGCTGACAAGTGCAAAATATCATTCATTAGCATCTTATGATTCCATAATTTCAAAAAAACATTTTTTACAGCGAAGTGACTGGAAGTAATCCTGATTTAGTGCTGAAAAGGCTTCAGTTAGCAAAACAAACAGCAAACGCCGAGGTATGTTAGGCCTTTCTGAACGCAAGAACTATAATTGATGATGGTGATCCTTCTAAAAGTTGCTTGCAGAGATTGACATATTTTGATTAAATTTAAAATATAAACCCTTGTTTGTTGTTTAACAACATAACAATAATAGAAAAGTGTACATATATGTAAACTTTTTTTTATTATTGTTATGTTGTTATACAATGTTATATACTCTATTTGTTATATACACTATTACAAAATATATACATTTTGTACTAGTATAAATAATGTAATGTTGAAAATGTAGTTGCGTTCATGCAATTGGTGCACCATTCACATTTAAACCCAACATAGTATGCTTCATGTAGCAGCCTTCGTCGATTTCTCGACGAACCCCTCACGCGCAGTGCAAGATTGAATGACCATCAGTCAGCTGTCAGTTTCACCGTTTCTTTTGCATTGTATTGGTGTGGACTCTCGACTCTCCGACGAGGGACAGAAGAAGGGTGTTACTGTAGTTGCACAGCGCAGTAAGAGACCAAAACAAACCGCTCCCGAAGGTGCCTCATTTCAGAACCAAAACTCGTCAGCAGCGGTTGGTTTGACCCGGTGGCAGTCGAGTCGAACTCAGTTCGGCAGGGGATTCATTCTTACTATATTTAGTTAAATTTGTTTCAACTTGTGCGTGTTTGATTCCCACACGAGCTGTGTGATCTTTTATTTTCCATTCAAAAGCCATTCGGTGTCAAGCGAAGAAAGAACTGCACAGAAAGTGGATTATACTAAATCAGACCGCAACAACCACCCACTAATGGTTTCGACATAACAAAAATACATCCTGCCTTAAACCAAAGTGAAACGAAGTGTTCTTTCTCCCACGCGTAAAATTCTGTGCAGCAGCTGAAATCTGACGTCTGTGGTTCTACTCGGCCAGAACCGATAGGAGTGATATCAAATTTGGGCAGTGTCGGTTTGCTGATTGCTAGCTGTTCTGGTGGGTTTAATTTGTGGTGATAGAACAGAAGATACCAAGTGAGGATAGCAACAACAGCCACGTGAAGCGTATACAATGTTCAGCCCGGACTATGAGAAGCGGATCCTGAAGCACTGCAGTCCGGTAGCGCGGAGTCTGTTCAACAACAGTGGGGAATCGTCATCGTCGCTGGACCGGTTTATACCGTGCCGGTAAGTAGCATTGGATTTTGTTCACATTTCAATTCTAATATTTCAGTTCCCCAACATGTGGGATTAGGGAACGTGCAAACAGTAATCCTTAGTTGAGTCAGTTCTATTTTGAAACAGTGTTGGTGTTAGTACAGCTGCGAGTGGCTTACACATGGTCAAGAAATTTGCTGAAGTCATGAATAGATATTCATCATGAACGTCATCAGCGTTTCCATCCTCTTTACTTGAGTAGTTTGTATTATCAGCTGCGAACATTATGCATAAGAAAGTCCTTCCTTACCACATCTGTGTCTTAGTAGTTCTTCATAATGACTTAAATTTAAGCATTTTATCGGCAATGAACAAGATCGTTACATTTAGTGTCCAAGGAAATTGCATTGATGATTTGCCCATTGAGGTTTCTAGACTTGCCCTGCATGTTTATTGAGATTCTTTGAATTTTCAAAGCTAGTATCAATTGAATTTGCAACACAAGCTTGTAGATTCGACCAACGAAATTCGAAACGGATTTGCAGATACAATCTGAAATTAATGTGATTGTTCATAGATAAATCTGCTTGTTTTATAAATAAATATAAATCGTATGCATGGAGGACTCTCTCAGTGAGATCGGTAAAGGCGCAGTTATAAAGCAAGACCATGCTGAAAGTGGCTGGGTTCGATTCCCGGTCCGGTCTAGAGATTTTTCGGGTTGGAAAATTTATCAAATTCCCTGGGCATAGAGTATGGTTACAGAACAGAAATGGAACATCGGATCCAAAAGTAGGTCCGCATTATTTTTGGAACTCTAGCGCACCTAGTGGTAGAAGGCAAGCTTTACCTGCAGTTTACATGAACAGCATGCTTTGATGGTGTGAGTGTCCGTAGAAAACCCGTGTGAAGCGTTTCCACAAGCATCGCTTGGTGAACAAATATTTTCTCCCACTTTTTTGATACACTGATTCGTTCACACGTCCAATTCTGTTATCGTAATTGCCACTCTAATGCCATACTAATGCAACAAATGATACAGGTTTAGAAAGCTCTCAATGGAGCTCAATTCGAGCAGAATAAAATGACGTTTCAGGGGGGGTTTCAGGCCTATCAAATCTTAAATTTATTGACTCATTTTCTTTAAATCGCTGGTAGAAGGTCGTCCCAAAACTGCTGGATAATATGATAAATTAAAAACTGTCTAAATGCAGCTAGAACACTAAGTTGAAGAAATAGTACGGATTTTTGCAACCAGGTCCTAGACCTGGCCTGACATAAAAACTAATTTTACAGCACCACCCAAAAGTCGATGTTATAGAATTGTACAACCAAGAGAAGTGAAGCAGCAGATCTATACCATAGTGAGAGTAGTATTTTCTTCTCAGTAAGTGGAAGACATGATCCAGTGAATTTGGAAGTGATCCTAAACAGTAAATAATATAATCTGTACTGTGAACCTCTAAACAAAATCTAAAGGTATACTTACCACTAATTACCTCACGTGTTAGCAAGTTAACTACAAATTGATCAGCGATAATCTTTCCACGCTTGAATAACAACCCCCAAAAAGAAATAAGAACATTGAAAACGTAAAATCATTACATTACCGATCTGATACGCGTTTAGCAATGTCATTAATAAATTATAGCGCTGGAGCGGCTAAGTATGCATCGGTAAGAGACGGTGCTTTACCCTATTTTGAAGGAACACAAGTCCCAAGTCCCGAAATAACATGAGAGCTGTGAAGTTGTGCGTGGCGAGTGTGTTGCGAATTAAATAATGTGCGTACGAGGAAGGGACCTCTTAATTTGCGGTGTCGCCTTTCCTAAGGGCACAGAAATACATTTATTTCTCGCTTCTTTGAGCACTCCTACCTCTAATTTCACGGTAATTAATATTGATAGTTTGTTAACTCTATGTTAATGCATGAATGCGAATTTTGCACTTTTTTTGGAGCCTTGGACAACTTTATTCAGGTGGATTAGATCTACTGGATGGAAGTCAGTTTAGCTCAGAATTCGGTGGTTCAGTGGTGTTAGTATACGTACGGACTTCCTGTAGTTCGCTCTATGGTGAGGTACATAAATTACTTGCTAAGCGGTGCCTTGGACAAACTTGTTCAGGTGGTTAAGGTCTGCTATGGTGTAAGTATGCTTTTTAGCCTAACTAAACACTATCTCGATGCCCTGAACATTTACAGGTATTCCTCGATTTTAAACACAGGTACTTTGCACTTTCATCGCCGACTTCTCGTTAATGACAAATCAATTTCGCGGACGTAAGATTTCACATTTGAGTTGAAAATTCGACTTTTGCGTTGACTAATCTGGTTTGATCTCCAAATGTGCAGCCTTAGCCTTCCTGATTCGTACAACTATGTCGCTCTTGGTTCCGCCGTCTGCCAAGATATTGGAAACTTAAGACTTTTTTCCATTGATTGTCCTGCTACCGTAAAGTTGGAAGTTTTCATCCGTTGACATACATCGTTGGGCTGATGTCGATGGTGTGACCCGCCGCAGGAAGTGTTGAGCTAGGTCGGTGTGCTTACTCGTTAACAATTTTATCCAGGACTGATTGGTGATTGAGTCGGTCCAAAGTTATTACGTACATAGACAATGAATACCAAATACCAACCAGGATGATACGGAGCGTGAAAATATGTTCAACACAAGATCTTCCGGCATGGAATCCTGGAATCAGATATCAAGAATCAAGTATCACGAAATTGGACTCAGAAAGCAGGAATTTCTCTAGCAGTGGATTGATAAAACGTTTCAATCCAGGCATAAAAGCTACATGAAAAATCTAAAACTTTGCTTGCTCATATCGTGTTTTGTGGAACTTGTCGTCGTCGGCGTCATCGTCGGTGTCACGTCATAAGTGGTGTAATGTGATATGAGGGGCTCGGTGGTCATAGATTGACCGTTTTTGCTTACTGAGCAGAAAATCATGGATTTAATCTCAGCCCCCTGCACATTCAAGATTCGTTAGTCGCTTTATTTCTTAACATGACTTAACTCATCACTTTAATTCAGTGTACCGTTTGTCAAAACGAACCCTGCTGCAAACTCGACCCGTTTATCCAAGTGATTTATCATGGAAGTGCAGAGGATTTCTCGGTTTCCAACAGAGTGAGTATTACGTCAACACATTCTACCCATTCTTTAATTGACTTGCATCCGGACGTGGCCGGCGCTGGTACTGCCTATTATAAAGTTTGAGATCACCAGTTTTTACACATTGAGGATGTATGTTAGTCCCAATGGGAGGATGGGAAGGAGCATCCATGGAGAACTTCAAGAGAATTCAGAGAATTCAAAGAGAGTTTTAAGTAAAATTATAAACTTAAGGTAATTTCTAAGGCAGCCCTGCCCAATCTTTCTATTATTATTGTCAGACTTTTAATGAAATCTACATTCTGATCATTTGAATAAATTTTCTGTGATCTTGAATCATAAAGTCTGCCAGTTTTCCCCAGTAGAAATCAGTGCCAAACATGTACTAGCATAAATGAATGTTATTACTTCTCGAGTTATCTCAATCTTTCCTTAATTCCTCTAAAAGATGAGGAAACTACAACATACTGATTTTTAAAAAATGGGTTCAATGCTTCTTTAGAGTTATCACGATTTTCTCCACAGGGCTTAAGATAGGATAATTATATGATTTCACTGTAATCATGAAACTTGATCATTACATAGAACACCTACTCAAAATCTTGACGCTTTACTCAATGTTGATAAATTCTTTCTTACTCCGTTACTACTTTCAGTAAAATTTAATTCTTCGGAAGTACCAATACATAATATATGCTTCTTAAGACTTTGAACGATATTATGTTAGAAGATTGCCAAGATTGTTGATAAAGTCAAATAGTTGCCAATCTCGTTTCTGAAAGATTGAATCCATAGAGTGAATCATGCATGCTGAGATTGGAAAAATGCACAGATTCGATTATGATTTACAAGATCGTTTGCAAGCTTGCTTTTTTAAATCTTAAAACCCTTTGAAGACTGTTTTCTAAACTTGATTTTTTAAATGGCTGTTATCCTACGTTCGATGAACATGTTTCAAGCTGCATTTTGTTTATTTTTTATTCATTCTTGACTAAAATTCATAATCATGAATAAATTTGCGCTACAATGATCTCATTGCTGAGATCCAGAGACCACGTCCGGCCCGCAGGCCACTCGTTGGGCAGCGCTGTTCTAAAGAACAAGGAGGAGAACTGCAAATGAATTCTAAGGAGAACTTCAAAGTAGTTGTGAGAATAATTTCAAGGAAATGAAGAGAATTCAAAGGGAATTATAAATAACAATTCAATTAAAATTCTGTGAATACTTCCATAAGGAATCTTAGCAGTATTCTCAAGGAATTATGAAGAGAGTTTCAGTAGTTCTGAAGAAAATTCCAAGGGAATGTAATTCTCAGGAGAGTTCCAACGAAATTTTTAGATTAATTTCAATAGAATACTTAGGAAAGTTTTAAGGAAAATTCGAGGTGTATTCCAAGGTTACACCAGTGGTAATTTTTAGACAATTTAAAGAGAGAGAGAGAGAGAGAGAGAGAGAGAGTTCCAAGATATATAAGTAAATTCTAAAGACATCTTGCGAAGGTTTCAAGGGTATAAAAAAGATTTATAACAAATGTTAGAGTTCGCGCAGAAAAAAATCAGGATCCAGAGTTCGGAAAAATTTGAAATTCCTGAGGCAACATCAACACAGCCAGTTCATGAAAGCATCCTGGAAAATGATAGACATAGTTTCATCATTTTCTTTGTCTATTTGGTGTATGTTGTACATCAGAGATGCGCAAAATATATCAAAACGGCCTGGCCTACTGTTCAGCATTTAAGGGCAAGATGATTAAAAAACATCGAGCCTGTTTAAATCAAAGATTTGAGCACGGTGCTTCAGAATCCAATAAATGGATGAAACGAAGACATCTCGTACCGTACGTTCCGTTGTATTGTTATTTATAAACAATTGGTCGCTGGGAGCTTCTAGTCTAAAAAGTTTAAGTGATGCTCCATTTTCCTCTAGTGGTTGGGACATGAGCACTATCTCTTGTCCTAGCCCTATATGACTTATGGTTATAGCGCCATTACTCGCTAAACTTCGAAATGTTTTTAAGATTACAAAGTTGAACTGAACCAAGACTTCAGTAGCTGAGTAAAATTTTAAATTCTTGTTTCCTAGACTCTTCCTTTGAAATATTACCAGTTTTATCGTTTTATTGTTGTTTTACATCAACAGGCTGGATGAAGCCCCAATGATGTTAACCTTATCAACTATAGTAAAAAAATACATTCAAGCATGGTCATAACATAAAAAATATTTATACTATAGTCAGGATGATTGCCAGCAAAAAACGAAAGAAAACTTTTGACGAAGCGTAACACGGATGAGATGAAAGTCGAAGATAGATGCAACTCTGTCTGAACACTCAAACTACGATTATTTTCGTTAACTACATGGTTAATTTGAGAAAGCGTTGCTGTGTTGTAGTTGGCGAGAAGACTAATAGCTCCTGCGTGAAATGTAGAGCTATCAGGATCTGAATAGAGAAATCCGCTATGAGATGCACTCCACGAAACGCCAGACAGATTGAAGTCACCCAAAATGAATATCTTTTACCTGTGAAAGCTGACCGACAGTGAGTATCGATGATTTCATTGTCCCGGACTCGATCAGGTGGAATGTACAGAGCGCATATAAATAGTGTGCGATCAGCCATATTTATGGTCTGCCAGACCTACTCCACATTGTTCCATGAATCGTTCTCGATGGCCTTTGCCTCAAACCAGTCACGGACAGCTACAAGGACACCTCCACCAGTAGATTTACGGCTGTTGTTAGGATTCCGATTGTAACGAAAGACCTCGTAGTCAGGACCGAAGATTTGACTGGAAACCGTTCGAGAATTGAGCCTCCGACGCAGCTAGTCGGTACTCTTCAACATCTGAATTCATTCCACCATTCCATTTGGTAGAAGATCACGACGTTCTCCCTGCAAATCACAGATACATCAGGCAATCACTATCCATCATTGAGTCTGATTGAATATTCGTCATAGTTAGTGGATTGGAACACCCCCTCCATACATCCTAAAGCAGGACCGGAAAGACTATGACGAACGAAGGCTGCTAATGGCAGGACTGATACGGAAGGATTAGGGGCTTCCATAAGGCTTTCTACGGTGCGTTCCGGGTTCCCAGGTTTGGGAGTTACAGAGGCATTATCACAATGACTAACATAGGTAGTCCGAATTGCTTAAATTAATCGGCATCAGGCAGTGAATGGTCAATTGGTATTGATTGTACTTGCCTGTAGAAGCAAGCTGGAAGACTCCTGGTCCATACCTAGTCACAGGTCCAGTACGACTATGCTGAGCGCTGGCAGGAATCGGCACGACTGGGCTGGAGAAATCAGGAGCTTCCATAAAGCGGTTTATTGTGCGTCCCGGAGATGACTTAAGATGTTTCGAACAGTAAAGCGGATGTTGAATATTAGCAGTATCGGAAGTGCTTCTCAACAGCTGATAGATGCTTCAACTCGGTGATGAGGTGATTTGACAAGCGACGATGATTTGTTTTACTTACTTAAGGGTCCTGTGCACCACCAGCGGTGTAAAGGGCCAACGTGAAAGACTTCCATCCTGGGCGGCTGCTCCCTTTTGCCTTGACCCTGGGTCTGCCTCTGCTGCGATGTCCTGCCGGCAGTGCGCAAAACAGTCAGGTTCATTGAGTCATTTTGATATGAATATGAACTGCCATCTGCCTCATCATTCACTGCCTCGTGAGAGTCTGAATGATTGAGAGGTAAACGAGGTAGTGACAGCCGAGCACTTAGTCAGTAGCTCAGTCAACACGTTTATTCTGCCGTGATGGTACCCAATATTTGTTTTGAATGACTGAGCGTACATTTTCTATGGAAAAAAGACTCAATTACATGCTGTGTGAGCGAAGGCAAGCGGTGTGCGTCGCCTACTCGTGAGTGACTGAATGTTTTTGTTGGCTCTTTCATTTCCTCGTCCTTTACCGTTTGGTACAAACAGTCTGCACAGAGGAATGGATTGAATAGTGCAGTGCTTTCACACTCAGCCTAGGCAGTCAATAATTTTACACTCTGCCTGCCGGATTCCAATCCAGCGCTTGCTTGCAGATTTCGTTTCCGCCCCGTCGAAGTGTGTGGCCGACCCACCTCCAATTTCGCTTTCGAATTTCTGTTGCTATCGGCTTCTGATGACATCGACGATGGAGCTCAGCATTCGAGATCCAGCTGTGAGGCCACCAGGCACGAATTATATACCGCAGGCATCGGTTGATGAAGACCTGCAGCTTTTGAGTGTTCTCCGCTGATACACACCACGTCTCGCTGGCGTATAACAACACAGATTTCACGTTCGAGTTGAAAATTCGGATTTTGCCCCGCTACCGTAAAGTTGGAAGGGTTGCCCGTGTTGATATCCAACGATTTGGTCTTGTTGACGTTGATGGTGAGACCCGCCGCAGAGGAGCGTTCGGCTAGGTCATTGAGCTGACTCTGCATATCAGAGCGCCGTTGTGCTAGTAGAGCAACATCATCAGCCAAATCGAAGTCGTTGAGATGCTCCATGGTGATAGGCTGCCAAACCAGCCCATGGTTCGGTACACGGTCAATTGCACCTACCATGATCTCGTCGATTACGATGAGAAACAGTAGCGATGATAGTATACATCCTTGTCTCACACCAGCGACTACCCGGATAGGGTCGGACAAGGCTCCGTTATGCAGAACTCTGCACGTGAAAGCCTCAAACTGCGCTTCGATGAGGTTGACGATTTTATCTGGGACTCCTTTGCTTATCCTTGAAGAATGAGGAATCGGTGTCTTGAGGCGTTGCACTGGAACACGGGAGCTGACTGTAACTAATATATGCATACTTCTAGATAAAGCTGTAATTAGGGCCTAACAGCTTTTGTAAACAATGACTTCTCTTAATGATTTCTAGTCAAGGCTCGCCCACGCAAACCGACATCCTCATCGGGTAGGGAAAGACTTCCTCTATCCGATGGTTAGGTTGGTATGGGTGGACGTGCCTTGAATTCATAGAAATCATCGATAGAAGTCATTGTTTACAAAAGCTGTTACGCCCTATTTCAGCTCTATCTAGACTTGCCTAAAGACGATGGTTGGGAGGCCCCACCACTAAACTCGATCGCAGGGCCAGAACGATTCTGATGGCAGGAAATAGAACGGAACAAAATTCCTTTCGGCCATGCTCTTTATCCAGGATTCGCTCCTCAAGCCGCTGCCATAAAATACTATCTAAGTTACACACCTGTGTAGAATCCTTATGAGCGGGGTTGCAGCGCGCTTATGAGCGGCGCGCTTCGACCGTCATCAAATGAGAATTTAACATAAGCGCGACAATAATCACTTCCGCTTATAAATACACTATCCGTTTCAACTTCCCCGCGCAGCCCAACTTGCCCCGGTGTACCTTATAATAAATCTTATAGACCTGTGCACGGGTGAACTTTAGTTCATCTACTGAAATTTTTTGACACAACAGCGGGGCCCTGTTTACTAAAAATGAACACATGAATAATGCTCGCGTAACATTTGAAAATAGCCTATCAACTTTTGTAAATAATTTACTAGGTTCTTTTCACGAGAACCGAAGTACGCCCACGAAAACCCAGAGCACTGTCGGGAAGTTTTTATCGAGTGAGTGAACTCAAATCCATTCGTGCACTCGTCTATTAGTTTGCATTGCATTACGCCTCTGCAAAGCTGCAGCAATTGAGGTTTTACAAATACAAATTTCGACATTGAGCGTTCATATGCTGGAAACGTAAACAATGGCTTCTTTCGTAAATTTCTCGTAATTCAAAATATACCCATGTAAGCCACCAATTTTATCAGATAGGCAGATTCTCCCTATCAACAATCATCGTGGTGGTTTACTTGAGCGAGTGTTCATTCTAGCTAAATTCGCGGAAGACGTAATTGTTTACGTTTGCGGCATTGGTCCTTATAGTCGTTAATTCGCCGCTTAGCTTAGCTAAGGGGGTAAGTCGCAAACGTAAACGATGGCTTCTTCCGCAAATTTCTCGCCAATGAAATCTTTCCCATTTATTTAACATTTTGCATAATCCTGTTAACTAGTTTCTATCATACAGGTTCTAACCATCTTGCGCTCGTTTACCTGATGTTAAGCAGTGTTGACTACAAATGCAATCGTTTGGCACATTTGACTCAACCTGTGTGGATTGTAAGAGTTGTGTGTTTTGAGCCTTACGAAAGCAATTACAGTAATGATCCGATTTGGTCAGGCCCCTTTTTGAAAATCTTTTCAAATGTTCTATGTAACCCATGCGATTACAAAGTATACCTTAAACATCCATATTGAACATGAGTGAGAAAAAATTTGGCTGATATAATCGGGTCATTACTGTATTCCTAAAAAAAAACTCGCTGCTGTTGCCCTACTTTGCCCTGCTTAACGCTTTTCCTGCAATCAACCTGATTGTAATATTCATCATAACACGATTTGTGCGCACGCAATCAGTTTAGTCCTGCTATTGACCATGAATATTTCGGGTCACCCACACCAAAATCTAGGCCAAGGTAAACTCGTTAATGCATCGAAAAACTTTTCCTCTCATTACCGCAGGGCCAACAACAACTGGCAAACCAATTTCGCCTCACTCAGTACCAAATCTAACGAGAACTCCCCGCAGTCGAACAAGAAGCAGCGCGACTGTGGAGAAACCGCTCGGGACAGTGTAGCCTACGGCTGTTTGCTCAAGAATGAACTACTCGGCACGGGGATCGAAGACGTCAAATCCGTAGCGGAGGACAAAATTGGCCTCCTGTCGAACAGCAATCGGCCCGGTCTGTTCAAGTATCAGTCACCGACGAAGCAGGTATGTGGATTTGTTTTCTATTTTATGTTGGTTTCTGGGTTGGACTACTGTGCAATGTGACACTTGCTTGCGCTGGGTCTCGTGCCGTTGTTGATTACCCGAATGCAACCGGTAAGGAAGAGGCAAAAGGAGAGATAAACAAAAACAAGTCTAAAGGAATGCAATTAAAATGCAATCGATCGGGAGGACTCATGTGGTCGCATGTTTGAGTCATACATGTTGGACGTCGTGTATCATTCGGAAAGTTACGATCCACTTGCACAAGCTTGTTCTTATCTACCTGAAAAGTATGTTGAATTCCTTATCAGCGGTCTGGTCTCATTGTTTGTATTTGTCCTACTATTTGTTCGTAGCCTCCTAGTTACGATAGTTTATCTTACGTAAACAGCCATGTGCTTGGTAGCCGCACCTAGCTTTGTTCTTCTTTTATGGATTTCGAATTGATGTGAGAATACAGAAACACAACGGTACATTACCATTACTCAACATAGCTTGTGAATGAATTCCACAAACATTCGTGTGACCAATCGTCCGCTACACAATATCTATTGGAAATCATTCAATTTATTTAATGAAATACTGTAAACCGGGGTATCTTTGATAATGCCGTAACTTTCATAGTAGAACATAATGATTAAATTTACTCTCTGCACTATTTTCGAATTGGAAACATTGGTTGCATTTTGTAGCTTACGGTATTACCTTTGATATCGTATAGAGTTTTATATAGTATGTTTTACATATTTTCGAGTATTATCAAAGTAACCCCAAAACTAAAAACTGTTCAGTCACAAGACAACAAAATAGTTCAAATACAATAATAATCCGTTAAACATATCGACAGTGAACATGCATAAGAGCGTAAACGCGATGATCGATTCTCTCCGTCGATTTTCTCTTTTGTTAATAACTCGCAAGAATTAACGATTCTCGATGCATTTGCTTTTGATAGCCAATACAACCTGTTACAACTCTACATTGAACAAATTTTAGAAAATTGTTTCGCTTAGCTGTATCAATGCAAAGAGAAAATAGATGAAGAGAATCGAACATCGCGTACACACTAAGACACTGGTTCAAAACAAATATAATTGAAAAAACCTTAATTGTTGTAAAAAATATTTAGAATATACTTCAAAAAACTATCAAAGCTACCCCGTTTTACGGTAGTAATAAATAGAGCTCTCGACTCACTCACTCGTTAATGATTGACTCTAAGTACTGTTAGAATTTTTAATCACGCTGAAGTTATTATATCCATGGGAGACACCTGCAATGCAGTGAAAGTGTAATCTTGTGAGCGATCTTATTATGTTTCGGTAAAGCTAATTAGCACCATACGATCCAGCAAGATTATTGCGTAGCTACTATCCTACACATGTTTTTTTATTGAGAGGAGCGTAGCGACGGGCTAGTAAAACAAAGTATTCTCATATCCGGAAAGTGAAACCACTCAGACGACGAAAATGATCAACTGTATCTTCATTGAATTTTAGCTCCATTAATTACAAGATCACTGGAGCGCTACCTTACGTCGTACAGAGATTTAACTCGAAATGTATTGTCCATTTATATGCAGGTACTAACAATTTCGCTGCGTGCGTGAGTGGTTGACAAACGCAGCTTACGATTCGGTACTGCCCTAGCACGTAACCGGTTGTTGACACACGTATCGAAAGACGCACCGAAATCGATTTTCCAATCTTCCAAACCGGGCTAATTGCTCCGCCCGATGATACCCTTCTAAACGAAGAAAACTCGGTGGCAGGTCTTCTTCCTTTCGTCTGACATTCGCAGTCGGCAGACGGATTTATTAGTGCTGTTTATTCTTTCGGCTATGATTTCATAATAGGATTGACTGACTTGAGTGTCGAGTGAGGCACTTCTTCTCCAAGGCTCCCTTTCGTTATCGTCGATGATACACAGCAGGCTACGCATTATTGTGGTCAGGTGCGTAAGTCACTGTTAAACCAAAAAAAAAAGTATACGCGTGCGCTTCTTGTTTGCCAAAATACCGTACAGCCAACAGAGTGTATAATTGGCTAATAGCATTTTTCATCTTGAAATCATTAAATTTCTGTCATGTCATAAATTACACGCATATGTATTAGCTCGCAAAAAGACGACGCGCTTATGACAGTAGGCTGATCTAACTGTCACAAATATGTTGTTTTCAGAAAATAAATAGAAAACAATTGTAATTCCTTATCACAAATGAAGAGACTTTGGACGTCATGGAACAATAGTTTTCTCACAATTATTAGATAAATGTTTTATGGTAGGGTAAGTGTGCCAGTTCTCGCACTAGTGCTCTAGTTTTTGGTCCTAAATCAAATTGGCAATAAATGTTCATGGTTTATCTGAAGTTTAACATTTATTTAAGTCTTAGATCTCATAAAATATCAAAGCCATAAAGTTTCAAACTCTAAGTTCTAGAAACTTTTCAAAGTTCCTAAATCCCAAAATAAGAAGAATGAAGTCTCAGCCTTTTGATTAGTTTATGTTCGCAACCTTAAATTTTAAAGTTCGGCACTTCAAATATTTTTGCTAGTTTTGGAACTTGAGAACTTCTCACGTTCCCTAATCTTCTCCCTAATCCCCCTCCGTGCCTGGAATATTTAATTTTAAATAAAACGCCCTAAATCTTCAAGATTTCTCTAAACGCAGGATCATATAATTTAATAAGCATGAAATCTAAATAAATCTAAGCCTTAGTATTTTTTCCCAAACCTTGAATCTTGATCCTTTTTCTGCGCCCATGTTCTCAAAAATTTTATGGTAAAAATAAATTCACTTATAATTTACTCCATAATACTCTTACAAATCTTCTCTGTGTTCACTCTCCAATGCTCTTCATATAATTAATAGTGCTAGTAATTCTCCGAAAAATATTCCTGAAAAGAATCATTTGGAATTTTCCTTAGCATGCACTAATAGTGTTGCGACCGCAACCGCAACGAACTACCATCGGGAAAGTTTCAGTGTAGTAAGCTTCGTCGCACCCCATTAAATAGCAACAGACCTTGCCCTACAACACCAAATAAAGTGAGGTTAAAAAGTCGGAAACTGTTTCGTTGTCATTGAAAAATTATCACCGGTATATCCATGGATCCTCAGAGTACCTTTTCTTCAAAATGTTGTTGGAACTAATATCGGAATTCAGAATTAAATTCACATGGAGTTTTCCTTGGAATTACCTTAAAATTTTGGCACATTCCTAAGCAGAATTTTTAAAATCTTAAATTAAGTTTATTGCATGGTAGGTAAGTCCCGGATTTCTTTTGAGAAATCGCGGATTTCGCAGATCAAAGTTTGAAAATCTTGTAATTATCTTTATCGATTTTCTCCTTTCTGAATGACGTAGCTGCCAAAGTATTTTTTTCGAGTTTGTAGCCACTATAAAGAAAGAAAGAAAGATTAGTAATTTCCATTTAATTTGCTTATCATTTACAGATACGCGTATTTCGTCTACAATGTGCAGACTTCTTCAGTATCTTGAACTAATGCAAGAAACTGAATAATTCTGCACATTGCAGACGAATTACGCGTATCTGTCAAGGACACGCAATTAAGGTAGTGAAATCAAATGGAAATTACTAACCCTTCTCTATTTCTTTATACACATATTTCAGACGGCCACATTCAGCAGTAATTAGATATCTACTATCCAGAAGTGAGTTGCAAATAACCAGAATATTGTTATGTTGCCGTAGCAAGTCCATTAGAAAGTGTTTTGCGATTTTCGTCGAGAATTAGTTATATCAAAACATTCGAACAATCAATTTTGTGGTGTTCAGAACTAGACAATCTGTTTGCACTAGATTTCACTTACGGGAACCCCACCGAAAAGTATCCGTACACATAAATTTTCAGGTTCACCTACTTTCAGTGCGTATTTTTATTGTTAATTGGCTATAATTATATGGTTGAAAACGCGAACCGCGTGCCTATGGGAGGGCCCTTAGATTATTTTGACGGCGGGAGGGCTTAACCTGATTTCCTGGGAGACAGAAGCAGTAGTTATGTTATCACATACTCTGATCTTTTGTTATATCCTAGCCACGTGCATTGCGGTCCGAAATGGCAAAATGTGAAACTTTTTTTTTTCTAGAACCCTATTTTTTCATTTTATCTATATAGGGGAAATGCCCCTAATTTGGGCCCATACATAAATTCAGCAATCGACTAAATTTTCAATAGCGACCAAAAATATCCATTAGTACCGTCCCAATGACGCGTTCATGTAGATAAAGTTGATAAATAGCAGATTTTTAGCGATGGGCCCAATCTTAGATCCATAGGCCAACATTAGAGCCATTTCCCCTAGTATCTCAAAAAGATTTGTTCTTATGAGTATCAAAAATTTGTCTTACTGTCTTACTATGATAATAATGAAAAAAAAACTCTTTTCTATGAACATAGGGTAAATGATGGGTTTGGCAATACAAAAATTTAGCGCTGGAGGACATTCTTGACCCGTTTACCCCCCAAACGATAATTCCCAAGTAGGCCCTTCTTGCTTTATTCATACAGGCCTCATAAGATCGTATAAACACTGGTATAGCCGTTGCACTGGAGGCCAGCAAACCGGGAAATAACCGGTAATTTCAAAAATAGCCGGGAATTACACGGGAGAACCGAGAAAACAAATAAATCTTGACATATTCCATCAAGCTTGAGCTTATTCAATCAAAAATATGCTTCTTCAGCAAAAACTTATTTAATTAGACTCTTAATAATCTTAATCTTTGAAAAAAAAAATCAATATTTTATATGAGTTTATGTTTATGTTTGAGTTTAACTCTCCTCAAAAATCCTTTTAAATTCTCATCAGAATACATTGAAAATCTTTTGAATTTTCTTGAAACTTTCTTAAGAATTTAATTTAAATTTAATTAACCTCAAAATACGACCCCTATGGTATTTTTCTTGGCACTTCCTTAAAGTTCTCTTTCGAATCTCCCTCAGTATTCATTTGAAATCCTTAGAAAATTCTGTTT